GGCGGCCGCGTACTCGAGCGTGCCGCAGCGGTACACGCGCCCGGCGGGGATCGCGCTGCCCGCCACGGCGCCGGCGTCGCGCAGGTTGAGCATCGACCGCGACGGGATAAAAGGCGCCGCTGAGAGCACCGGCAGGAACTCCTCGGGCGGGATCACGGTGCGCACGTCGGTGGCCGCGAGGGCGTCGATGGCGGCGGTGTCGAGCGGCATATTTTTTTTTCGGTGCGGCCTGCGATGCGGGCGGGCTTGTAGGAGGGGAATATAGGCGAGATTCCGGTAGCAGGTCGTTCGGCCGAGATGGACAAAAATCGGGGTTCGCGGCGGATATATATAAGCTTCTTTGGATAGGTCAATGATGCAGTGATGAACACGACCAAAGCAAAGTATCACAGTATATAGGCACGCTCAAATCATTAAATCTCTTCACAAGAAAGCGAGCTGTGAATCAGCTTTGGGAACACAGAAAAGGGTCCTGCGGCACCATGTCCGACCAGACAAGCCTCGGGCTACGGCCGCGGTCCGTTGCGCTAGAGGGCGGGGGCGTTGCCTTGGTCGGCAGCGGGGTTCTTGAACTGACAAAACTGACCGATCGCACTAGCTGTTCTCACTTATTGCTTTTTTGAATCCAAAGTGGTCCTGCCTGTGCTTGCTCGAAAGACGTTCAACGCCAGGGAATTAGGCCATTCCGAGCCAAGCATTACCGGCTCAGCAAGCTCAGCGCAAGGTGCATGCTCACGGCGGCCTGACGCGGACAATGGAGACAAAAGTCGAAAAGGCGGCCAGCAAGGGCCCTCTGCCCAGGACAGCAACATCGGATGTTCAAAACAGCAGCCCGGGGAAGACCTCCACAAGCTACGTCCGAGGCGCCCTCCTTTCCCTCTTCGCCGCCGCGTCGCTGGCTGCAGTCGGCCTACAGCACACGCGGTACCACCACGCGACCCCTGATTCACAGACGCACTGCTACAGAAGCGTACAGACGCTGTACAGCGCGCAGCCCGTCGCGCAGTGCTTCACCGTGACCAATGGCCTATTCACTGCCGTGGTGACGCAGCAGCAGGAGGAGGAGGAGCTGACCAGCGCGACGGAGCTGAAACGGCGAGGCGAGGACGTCGCCGGCCATGTGATCCCGGGCCTCTGGGACGGCCACGGCCACCTGATTGAGCACGGCGAGATGCTGGTGCAGGTCGACCTCTTTGGCGCCGCGACGCTCGACGAGGTGCGCGCGCGGCTGCGGGCGCACATCGAGAAGCATCCCGAGGCGGGCACCCGTGAGCACTGGCTCCGCGGCATGGGCTGGGACCAGACCGATTTCGGGCGCATGCCCACTGCTGTACGAAGAGCCCCCTCCCTTTGACACCCCCTCCCGACTAACATACTCCCCCCCCCCCTCTGCTTTCCAGGCCGACCTGGAACAGGACCCCGCGCTCCGGGGCCGCTACCTCTTCGTGGACCGCATCGACGGCCACTGCTCGCTCGTGTCGCAGGCGGTGCTGGAGCTGCTCCCGCGTCCGCTCCCGGACACGGTGCCCGGCGGCGAGATTGTGCGCGACCCGGGCCCGGGCGTCTTCTGCGACAACGCGCTCGACATGATCCTCGCGCGGTACCCGAGGCCCGACGACGCGACGCGGACGGGCTACGTGCGCGCCGCCATGCGCGCCCTCAACGCCGTCGGCCTCGTCGGCGTGCACAATGCCGGCACGGACCCGGACAGCGTGCGCCTCCTCGACAGCCTCGCCGGCGACGACGAGTGGACGGTCCGCGTGTACGCGATGCGCGAGTGCGCGGCGCGCAACACGTTTTGCGCCGCCAACGCGACGACGCTCGCGCGTGACGACGGGCGGCTGCACGTCCGCAGCGTCAAGCTCTTTGCCGGTACGCTGCTTTCTCACTTCTTGCACCCCCTGCACGGCGATGAACCTGGGACCACAAAAGAAGAATCCCGTCAAGGCTAACCCTTCTTTGGTAGATGGTGCGCTCGGGAGCTGGGGCGCCGCCATGCTCGAGCCGTACGCCGACGACCCGGCCACCTCTGGCTTCCTCCTCATCAACGAGACGACGCTCAGCGACCTGACGAGGCAGTGGGCCGCCGCCGGGTTCCAGGTCAACATCCACGCCATCGGGGACCGGGCGAACCGCGCCGCCATTGACGCCTTTGAGGCCGCCCTGCGGCACGAGTGCGGCGGCGGAGGCGGCGACGACCTCGCCGGCTGCGCGCACGACCGTCGCTTCCGGCTGGAGCACGCGCAAATCATCGAGCCGGGAGACCAGCAGCGGCTTCGCGGCCTGCGCATCGTGCCGTCGGTGCAGCCCACGCACGCCACGTCCGACATGCGGTACGCGGGCGCGCGGCTGGGTGCCCGGCGCACGGCCACCGCAGCGTACCGCATGCGGTCGTTTCTCGATCTGCAGCCCGTACTGGGCAGCGACTTTCCCGTGGAGCCCCCCAACCCGTTCCACGGCATGTACGCGGCCGTGACGCGCAAGAGCCCCGCGACGGGCCGCGGGCGCGAGGGCGCCGAGGACGGGTGGCACCCCGAGGAGACGCTCACGCTGGCGCAGGCGCTCTGGGGGTTCACGGGGGCCCCGGCGTACGCGGCGTTCTTGGAGGGTAGGGCCGGGCAGATCCGGGAGGGCGCATATGCTGACTGGGTGGTCCTGGACGAGCCGCTCGGCGGAGATGGGTTCGATGTGGAGAGCTTGCGGACGTTGCGGGTGCGGGAGACGTGGGTGGCTGGCAAGCGCGTGTATAAGAGAGATGATTGACGATACATGATGATGACATGGTTAGGTAAATTAAGCGCAAGCTGAGCATGGTATAGCATAATGTCAAATACATGCTAGTGAATTTTGAGAATGTACAGCAAATTAGCAACAGATGTGATGAAAACAAGTATAAAAAACATGATTGGTGTCGTTCCTTGTTTGACACGTAAACAGATTACGCCTGAACAATGCATTTAGATTCCACCCACTTGGCAAACTTGACCGTCGGGATATCGACGGCCCTCCAGAAGATGTCGGCGCACCACACCACCGTGGGGATGCAGAAGACGGCGCCGAGGACGAAGCCAGCATTGTACCAATAGCCGTCGGTGCCGGTGATGGCGTAGGCCATCCGCTCCCAGTGGTAGCCGATGCAGTGCATGGCCGGGCCGTGCATGAGGTAGATGGCGTAGGAGATCTTGCCAAGGTACTGCACAGCGGCCGTGTTGAACACGGCCTGCCACGACGGGGAGTGGCCGACAGCCAAGGCAAAGATGACAGCACCAAGCGACTGGTAGTAGCGGTAAGGCTCTTCCCTCCACCAGACGGGGATCTGCGCGTGCAACCAGACCCAGCCGGGTGTAATGCTGCCCTTGACATCGGGCTGGCACATCAGGTACAGGCCGAGGATGCTGACGCCGCCCCAGAAGGCACGCTTCCAGCGAGGACGGGGTACAGGGGAGCCGTCGCGAAGTGGCAAATCGGGAGAAGAAGAGGCGGAGGCTTTGTGCGCACCGCGAATCAGGTCCATCTCAGCCAGGACCATGCCACAGAGAAAAAGGAGCAACTCCCAGCGCGAGTGTGTGTAGACGAACCACATGATACCGGCGACGACAAGAAATCGAAATTTGGTTTGCAGGCGGGCGGTGCCGATAAGGACCAAGAACAGGTACAGTGAGCAGCGGAATTCGACAGGAATTGTCCAGAGATGGACATCATAGGCTAAACGAGGCAGGTGTCAGCGGACAGATGTCTTGTGTGGACGACACCAAGACTTACTAGTGCTACCTCCAAACTTGCTCCAGTCAAACACATGAACGAAGCGATACATGTGCTTGGCCCAATCGATAAACTGGTCCGAAGCAAACTCCATTCGAAGGGGATGGGTTTCGACAACGTTCCTCATGTACGTCCTGTCAGTGGCAAACTCTCGCGTCCACTCGTAAGCACCGACGCGCAGCAGGCAGATGATGAGAAACGTGGAAATAGCTGTGGGCAGGTATAAGCGAATAGCGCGGCGAAAAGCGAGGGAGCTAATGGCAGTGAGCGCATCGGCGGTGGCCCGGCTACGGACGAGCTTGAGCGGGCGGTAAGAGAGGGCGTAGCCTGAGATGACGAAGAAGAGGCAGACAGCAGGCGGGCCCTGGTACCAGAGGCGGATGAATGGCAGCTTGAGGAGGCTGTAGTTGGTCTCGCCCGCGCCCCAGCCCTCAGCGATGATGAAGGCCTGGTAGAAGTAGTGACAGAAGAAGACGAAGAGCGCGGCGACACCGCGCATGCCGTCGAGATAGGCTGTAGGGGCGAGACGGGTTGCAGGTCGAATCATTTGCTCGCGGGCGTGGCGGCCTTGGAGGAAGCTGGGGACGAGGAAGACGGCGAGGCGGAGCAGCAGCGGCCGCCACGACGACGCCGACCGGGTGCGGAGCCACGGGCCGGCGAGTCGCCGGAGTCTGGTCCAATAGGCGGAGGAAGAGGAAGAGAGGCGAGCTTTTTCGTCCAAGATGTCGCCATCGCTCTCGACGTCGGAGATGTGACCGGCCAGCAGACCTAGATTTTCCTCGCGGAGAGGGTTCTGATCGCTTCTTGACATGACGGGATGGCTGGCATTAATTGAGGTGAGAAATTGGTGTTATGAAGGAGACTCTGGATAGAGACAGAAGAGAGGACAGTGGGAGGATGAGAAATGAAGAAAGACGACGAGAGGAAAATGAACGAATCAGGATGACAAGTGTGTAAACGGACGTGTGTTTCGACGTTGGCTTGGCGGCCGGCAGAAGAGTGGCATTGACAGCTGTCGGAGTGTTTGGCAAAGAGAAGGACGGGGACACGTAGCTGGCAGTCAGGATCACAACGAAGAGAAAAGGAAAAGAATGAATGTTCTATTCGTTTTTTTGTCCTCCGAGAAGCACAGAAAGCAATGCAGAAGGCAGTGCCAGGAACTGCACGGCATAAGGCATAAGGCATGAGGTGTCCCGAGGGGGAAGGACGGATCGCCTTGTGCTCTACTTGACAAATGTAGAATGCGCGGATCATCCAGCGGGGAGCCTCCCATCTCGAGACGATCTCTGACAGTGTGTGAAACAAAGCAGAAGGGGCAGCTCTTTTTTGCCTAATTTCTAGAGGATAAATGAACTCTGGCGGTTTGCAACGCCGCTCTGACGATCTAGCTCATGCCGACCAAACGGAGGCCGCTTCAGCTGCAGACTATACGCATGACAGGCCAAAACGGTCTATAAAAAAGTCTTTAAAGGTGATTGAAAAAAAAGCGCTCAATTGATCAACTCTTTAAAAAATGGAGGCAAGGGTGTCTGGGATGACCGACGACTGGTATGCGGTGGCCAAGGAGGGCAAATCGAGCGCAAGCAACTGGGTCGAGGGCGAGACAAGGCCGACGTCATGATTCAGAGGGAAGCAAACGGGTGAGCGGAATGGCGTTGAACATGAACGCTTGCATACTTTTCAACGCAATAACTAGTTATGGAGAAACAAAAAAGGGCAGTGGGGAAACGGTTGCAATCTGAAGCCGGACGTGTTTCCAATCTTGATGTTTTTTTGGGACAGGGACCCGATCGTGGCCAACCAAGGTCAAACCCGCCAAGAGCCAGTCCATGCCTACTGCCCAGCATGACCAGTTCCTAGTTAACTATAATAATAACAACGAGACTGGCCAAGGGTTTATTGACTCGGAAAGAAAAATGGCTACCAGTGATTTGAAAAGTGCTTCAAGCGTGCTTGAAAAAGCACAGAAAATGGCCGAATAATAGTACGAAATGCTGTGTACCAGGTAGGTGGCCGCTGCTGTCAGCCCGCCACGACAGCCCCCAAAACAAGCACTTCTTCCGGTACGTCGCGTCAACCTTTATCAGGGATATTTCTAGGTTGTTAATTCGTACTTTAGGTACTATTAAGATGATATTTATTATTCTTGTAATAAATACGGGTTCTCGTGCCACTGCCACTGCCACTGGCGCCACCGATCTCTACATACGCGAGTGAGGCCTGTTTTTGGACAGGGTACTAGACAGGTCTCTTTTTTAACAGCTAATTTTCCCCTGTCACAACGCTGTTAGGCGTCTAACACGGCTTCTAAAAAAACATAAAAGATCTTTAACACGTAGCAGCAGCCTGACAGCGTTGTGACAGGGGAAAAAAACATGTTGAGTGGAAAACGTGTCCAGTGCCCTGTCAGAAAACAGGCCTCACGCGCGTAGGTACCTACCTACCCAAGTACCCAGGTATTCTTCTTAGGCACCTGCACCGTTCAAGGGGGCCATCAGGGGAGAGACCAAGCCTTTTGCTGCAAACAAACGTCCAACCTCAACTCTCTCTTCTCCTCATCATCGCCCATTCCAAATTCAACTCCAAAAAAATGACTGGATAATCCTCCCCAACGCTCTTTACCAAACAAAATTCTTCTTGTCCCTTCAGTCTTTTCCGCCCAATGAGCTCTTCTCTTGCCGTCTCGGACCCTTGCTTTTCTATCCTTCTCTTCGTCGCCGTCGCCGCCGCTTGGCTCGCCCAGGCCGCCCTCGTCGTCACCGTCACCCGCCGGCCATGCTCCTCACGCTGGCGCCGGGCCTGCTGCTCATCCTCTTTGGCACCGTCATCATTTTCCGCGCCGCTTCGCTGCTTAGTCGCTACTATATGCTCCCGAGTTTTCCGCACAACCACGCCGCCGCTGCTGCCGCTGCTGCGAACCGCGATATTCGCTGGATGTCCTAGCGTCGTCGCTCCCCAGAGCAGATGGCGCAGTGGTCACGCGACCACCTCAACCGCCCACGACATACTCTTGTTCCCGTTCCGGACTCGAACATGTACATAAATAATCATTCACGAGGGAGTACTTTGGTATAGACTTGGAAATTTTTATATATTTTCATCCATTACTATCGTTGTCCTTGAAACGAGTGCCGTAAATAACGCCATCCAATATGCATCATGAGGTGAGTATCCACATTCCCATCCTTTCATCCCATCTCAACCATCCTCCCGCCTATAGTTATTGTCCACCACCAGACCCAGTATCCCATTCCTTTTGCCTTGTATTATATTTCCTATATTTGTTCTTGCGCATCCATTTCTCTAGTTGTCAAGCCAGTCAAGAAATTCAGGCGTAAAGTAGCTGACAATAATGGTCGCACCCGCCCGTAGAATGGCCTCGGCAGACTCGAAAGCCATTTCCTTGAGACCAAACACGCCTGCCTTTGCTCCAGCGTGAATCATTGCATATTCGCCGCTCACCTGGTAGGCCGCAACTGGTAGATCCTTGCCCAGCTCCTTGGCGTCGCTGATAATGTCGAGATACTGACCGGCCGGCTTGACCATGATTATGTCGGCGCCCTCGGCCATGTCGCGGGTGATCGCACGTCGTGCCAGACCACGGCCGCCAGGAGGCAGTTGATAGCACTTGCGGTCGCCAAACGAAGGCGCAGAGCCGGCCGCATCACGGAAGGGTCCGTACAGACAGCCCGAGAATTTGGCCGAGTACGACATGAGCGTCGTCTTGTGGGAGATGCCCTCATCAATAAGCTTGAGCTTGATGGCACGGATACGACCGTCATTCATGTCCGATGGGGCCACGCAGTGAGCACCAGCCTTGGCGTAGGCGACGGCAACATCGGAGATGCGGTCCACCGACAGCTCGTTATTCAAGCTGCCGTCGTCGCGCAGGATTCCGCAGTGACCGTGGGATGTGTATTCGCAGAGGCAAACATCAGCACAAATGTAGAGCTGCGGGAAGCGGCGGCGGATGAGGCGAATGGCGCGGATAACGGGGCCTTCTGGGTCGTCGGCCGCGCTGGCAAGAGCGTCCTTGGTGCCAGGCTTAAAGGGCACGCCGAATAGGATGACGGAGCGCAGACCCTTGTGGACAAGGGGCTCGAGGAACGAGATGACGCGGCCAATGCCGAGTTGGTGCTGGCCGGGAAGGGAGGGGACCAGAATCATGTCGTCGTCGTTGTCGGTAATGAAGAGGGGGTAAATGAGCATAGACTGAGGGTTGTTAGCGCCACAAGGTTGCAATGCGCATGGAATATGGAACCATGCCTTGTCCATAGCTGGATACATACCTTGGTCAGTTGGCGCTCGGCTTGCCACGAACGGGCAAGCGGGTGAAAGTAGCCGCCATGCAGCTGGCTGGAGATGTCACCCGAGATGCTGACGCTCGTGGCCGCCGTGCTGGCGTAGGATCGGGCGCGCGAAATATGCGAAGCGCGATCGTCAATCGACGATACGGTAGGGGGCGGGCGACGGCTGATGGCCGCAGCGTTGGAGTTGCTGCTGCCACCGTCACGGAGGCTGAGATCGTGGACGAGGCTCGAAAAGGACATGGTGGGATATCTGTTGGGTTGCAAAAGTAGAGCGCAACTCGAATCCTGATCAACGGGGCGAGATAAGGGGATGCGAGTGATTGGATGCGCTTGGTGTCGAAGAATACGGCAGCGGTCGCGTTGCCGAGTTGACTTGGATGGTGGACGGTTTGACCGGAGTAATCAGCAAGGAGGTTGTCTTGCGACTGCTGATGAGGGAAGAATGAATCAGATGGATTTCGAATTTGTTGCAGACGGGTGGGGCTGGAGTTTCCAGTGCTCAGGGCGGCCTGAGCGCAAGAGTTTGTGAGGGGTCTGAGAACAGTCTTGATGGTTGAAACTACCTTCAAGACAAACAAATCAAGTCAGAGTAATAAATTATAAGAAGAAGATTGCATGTATGTCTCGGCCAGACAGGTTCCGAGCAGTAACTTGCACAAAAATTGCCGTCGCCGCCGCTCGGAAGGAACAGCGTCCGCCTGCCAAAAGCCGCGGGCGGGGGCGCCGAGGCCGCCCACAATGCAGGTGATTTTAGGGTCTGATAACGGTTATTTTCCTGTACCGCGGTGGTTCGGAAAGTTAGCGTGGGGCCGCCTGGCCAATCGTGGGGTAGCCTTTGTCACGCTGAGCAATTTTCAAGGCACGCCTAAGACCGAGGCCGAGCAGCGACCGTCCGTTTGCCACCAGACGACTTGCATTCTGCAGCAATAGACGGACACATACAAATATGCGAACGCACATCTCTGCATTTATAGACGACATGCTGCACATTAGGAAGAAACATACAGGCATTGACTACGCTCCGACTGGGCAGCCTATCACCTTTACGTGATGGCCAACGACGCACGATTACGACGAGTAAACACGCACGACGAAGCATGAACGACGCGAACAACATGTGCATCTACACCTGAGGCACACATTATCCGTGTGATAGAGACCTCACAGGTAACCAGTGTGATCAGCTCATGGAAGCCGGCGTGCTCTCCATTGAATCTTATTAGGTTGGAGCTGGTATCACCACAGTCTTCCTCATCTCGAACCTCGCAATATGCAATGCGTAATCTTTATTCTCCCCTAGAATATCATCAGAAGTATCCAGACCCGTCGTTGTATTATTTCCTCTTTTATTATCCCACGATACGTATCGTAACTGTGTACTAGAGCTCTTACACTAACTAATAAGTCACAAGCAGGTGGGTGTTGGCTCGGAGTTTCCTTTCCATATATGATAGAGCAAAACAGTCGAGCCCACCCTCCTCGCTTTGTTCTTTGTATTGTGATAAATAACGATCGTCTACACTTGCAAGATTTACTTCCCCATGTCCACCATGAGGATAGCAGTCCCTGCTGCGCCTCCTCGGGAGATTTCCACAAGCCTGTCCGGTTGCCGGAAACGGCATGGCCGACACGCCACCCAAGGCAAAACCACCATTACACAAAAAATTCTAGCTTCTTCATCTGTAGCCGCTTTAAACCTTATTGCCCGTTGGGCTGATTTGCTACCTTTTCCCTGCTCTATCCAGGGTTCACATGTGTGTGTGGATTAAGGCAGCGCGGCGGCTAGCTGCCTTGGATCAAGAAGCTCTGGACGACTAACTAACTCTTTGGTCGGATCACGCTTGGCCCTGGACGTGGAACCCATTATGGACTCGGATTTGCGTGAAAAACGAGGGGATTGCGAGGATTCTCACTTCTCCCCTCCCCAAATACACCGACTCAATACTACGGCTCTAGAGGCGCGAGGCCTGCCACAAGACGGCAACCGATGGTGCCGACATGGCGACGTCTGATTCCGCTTCGCAAAAGGCGATCCTGCCGTTCGGTATCGAGCTGCAACCGGTAGCGACGAGGCGCGTACCCGCGGCCACCAAAGGACCAACAGTAACATCCTCGACGACCGAGCCGCTGGAGGCGAGCGCGGCCACGACGCGGCAGGACACGGGCGACAGCCGCTCGACCGGGCTCTCGCAGGCGTCGACCGTCTCGTACGCGTACGAGCGCTTCGACCGCAGGTCGCAGCTGCGGCGGCTGCTGCTCCGGAGCCTGGCGCGGTGGCTGGTGACGGTGGTGCTGTGCGCGTCCATCTACGGGGTGCTGCTGGCGTACTCGGCGCACGACGCGCTGCCGCAGCGCAAGAAGCTCGAGTTCAACACGCTCGTCATTGCGCTCACTATTGCGCTCAGCCTCAACATTACCAGCTCCCTCAAGGCCAACGCCATGGACCTGCAGTGGTGGCTGCTCAGCCTGCGCCGCTACAAGCCCCGCGAGGCCGACCTCATCATGGCCAGCGAGCACTTTACCACCATGTTGCAGCTCGGCTGGACGACGCGCCACACGCTGATCCAAATCTCTGTCGTTGTCTTTGTTACCATGAACATTGTACGTCTTTTCCCGATAGCACATTGTTCCCGGTAGCAGATCGCAGAACACTCGACTGACTTGCCAGGGCTCCCAAGTCGCCCTCGCCCTCCTGGGCATCACGTACAACGTCAACCCCGCCAACAAGTTTGCCATTACGAGGCCAGGTCTCGTTTCCATAGCCGACTTGTCCGACATCCAGGGCACAAAGGTCCTGTCCACGCCCCAGAAGCGCCAGAACCTGACCGAGGACGTCAACTCTCGGCGATATTCGGCCAACGTCTTTGGCCAGGTCGGGCTTGGCTTTGATGAAGCCAGCGTCGATCTCTTGCCCCGGCCCGGCACGCTGTACAATCCCGATCTGCCCCAAGTCTACTACTCTACCTCTCTACCGGCCGACTCTAACGACGGCAGCAGCGGCAGCAGCAACAACACTACCCAGGAGACGGACGTCGACCCCAACGCCTACTCGTATACGTACGTCTTCTTCGAGTCGACGCTCGCCAACGCCAGCTACTCCAACACGGTGGCGTCGAACCGCTCCGTCACCGTAACGGCGAGCTGCGAGAGCTTTAGCGTCCTCGCCGGCGGCAACGGCCTGTCGCTCAACATCACGGTGCGGCTCGGCGCCGCCGACGAGGAGGCCTACCTGCCCGTCGCCAACGGCGGCTCGCAGATCCTGTACCTGCACGACCCCGCGAGCCAGGCCAACGACACGTGGAGCGAGGTCAACGCCTTTGAGCCGTCGGACACGAGCCCGTGGTACTACGTCTGTCAGGTCGCCGTCGGAAACGTCACCAACGCCGTGCTGCCGCAGCACGTCATGGGCACCAACTTTACGCGCTACGTGCCGCCCGCCATCGCGCTGCAGGGCTACGGCTCGTCCGCCGACGGCCTCACAAACGCCACGACGAACTACCAGTTCCAGAGCTACCCGGCGCAGACGTACTTTGGGCAGCCGGCGCGCGGCTCCGGCGCGCGCATGGCCGCCCTCGTCAGCCGCTGCGCTGCCAACGCCGTCGCCGCGTCCGCCCTGTCCAACACCAACATCGACGCCCCCGGCATGACGCCCCAGCGCGCCATCCAGCTCGAAATCACAAAGTGGCGCTACGTCCACATCATCGTCGGCCTCACCGTCGGCGTCCAGCTGCTCATCCACCTCGGCGCCGTGCTCGTCGCCAACCGCGTGCAGGTCCGTGAGCAGCGCGGCTTGTCCACCGCCTCGCTGCTGCGGCCGTTGCTCGCCGGAGTTGGCGACCGCGCGAGGATGGCGATGGGGAAGCAGATTGCCAAGCTGATTGGCAAGGGTGTCACCGTCAGATACGAGCCTGTTGGCGCAGGCTTCGATCTTTGCATATATAGAGACGGAACATGTGAGCGGTTCACACCAGATACCCTCGATAGATAGAAAAGCTCGTACGGTGTATAACACAGCAGACCTGCACTTATGTATTGTATACAACTGCAATACCTTGCAGGCATTTAATTTCTCAACGCTCACTGTTAAAGAAAAGAACAAAGTAAATCTATTTTGAGAGCGGCAACTTCTTACAGGCCCCGCAGGTTCGTGTTGTCACGACTGTCCACTGGGATATATCTCTCCTTCAGCACCTGAGCCACCGTTCTGGTGTCCCTGGCCGCCGTCTTCTGGTATCGCTGGTGCAAGGCCTTCTCGACAGCACTCGATCCAGTGGTCAGATTCACGCCGTCAATAGCCGCTGCAGCACTGCCCGCCAGACCGACAGCCTCCTTGGCTCTGCTGGCGAGCTCCGCGGCCTTTTCCTTGCCGCGTCCCAGCAGCGACGACAGCAAGCCGCCCGTTTCTTGTGCGCCCTCCTTGGCGGTCTCGGCCACGTTGTCGGCCGCAGCCTTGGTCGCCTTCTTGGTCTGCAGGCGGGCCTCGAGGGCCTTGTTCTGCGCGGCCTCCTCGACGCTGCGGGCCTCGGCCTTGGCCTTTTGGAAGGCGCCGCGCGCCGACTGCTCAATGGAGCGGGCCGTGCTCTCCGCGACGCCCTTGGCCGCCTCGGCCGACTGCTCGGGCGTGGCGCCGGTCACGCGGGCCCAGAGGGAGCCGGCCTGGGACTGCACGCCGTGGCGGACCTCGTCCCAGTCGGTCGTCTGCACCCAGCGGACGGCGCGGCCGACCTCGTCGTTCCACTTCTCCTTGAGGACCTCGACTTTGGCGGCGCGCTGCTCGGCGGCCACCTCGGACCGGGTCGGCGGCAGGGGCAGCGGGATCGGGTCGATGATGGTCTGCAGCTCGAGGGCCTGGGCGCGCAGGGCCTGTCCCTGGCGCTCGCGGTTGCGCTGATGGGCGAGGGCGGAGAGGTAGGCGACGGAGAGGGTGAGCGTGACGCCGCCAGTCTGTCGAGAAGCAGGAATCGGTTGTTAGCAATAATGGAAACCTGGCCGGGAAAGCTGTGCCCGTGAAGCTGGAAAAGGCCGCTCTTACAAAACCGGAGACGAAGCCCATTGTGGCGTGGCAGAGCTTGGCTGCGCTCGGAGACTGCTTGTATCAAGGCAATGAGTGCAACAATGGAGGATCAGCTTCGCATGCTGCGATGTCGATTCACAGCTTTTCTTCTGCCGTGCGTTTTGCGCGCAAGATGTTGACGTAGTTGACAAGGTGGGTGGGTTAGTGGCAAACAGCACTCGAAACAGAGTGTAACCACTGTAACTGTTCCCGGTGCGCGGTAAATTTCGGCACCACGTCGCCCGCCTCCCGAACCCAAAGTTTCCACTCCAGGCGTTAATTTTTTGGGGGCATCAACAATTCATTCAAAAAAAAGTCATTACGCTGTAACAACGCAAACACCCCCTGCGCAGGCTCGACGCCATCGACTGAATCAATTTTGCCTATTTATCAGCTACTCCATCACACACAATGGCCGGTGGTCTCACCAAATACCGCCATCTCGGCCGCAAGTCCTCGGCGCGAAACGCTCTGTTGCGAGGCCTCGTGACATCCCTCGTCCAGCACGAACACATCCAAACCACATACGCCAAGGCCAAGGAGGCTCAACGGATGGCCGAGAAGCTCATCACCCTGGCCAAGCGCGACAACGAGCCCTGCCGGCGATCAGCGCAAGGAATCCTCTATGTACGGCGGCGCATCACAACCCCCCCCCCTTCAACCAAGGGGATACAGAGCTAAAGCTAACTCGTCTTCTTCCGCACAGCTGCCTCACATTCATCTGCCGAAACTGTTCGGGCCTCTAAAAGAGCGATACATGCAACGCGAGGGCGGCTACACCCGCGTTGTCCGCACGGAGCCCATGAACACCTACGACCAGGCGGAGAGCGCCGTCCTCGAATTCGTCGACGGGCCCCGCGACTCGCGCTTTATGCTGACGGCCAAGACGGTGGCACGCGACCGCATGCTCGGCCAGGCGCACAGGGACTTGACGGTCGAGAATATCGACAAGGTGACAAAGCATCGCGGCAAGGCTGAGTTTGAGGCCATGGTCAAGAGATACATGGTCAAGGATATCCAACGTAACCGCGATAACACCCGCGAAACGGCGCCAAAACCGAATGTCGCTGCAAGTGATGTCGAGTAGCAGCTGGGAATGGGAGAGTTACGGGCCAGGTGTGACGATGCAAAGCAATCATAGCGGCACCACGGTGGTGGAACGAAATGTATCATAGAGCTTGATTGTTGGAATCTTTAGAAGGGACTGTATTTGTATATTATTTCAAAGCGTTATTCTGCAGCCAGTAGGCTTGCTATACGATGCTTTCGGCGCTGTGAAACAATACACCATTCATACCAATTTTTCGTACTCGTGCTTGGTGATTCCCGTTGTTCAATGTGGCAACTTCATCTCAAGGCGCACGCAGAATGGGATATAAATACGACGAGAAATAATTGAACAAACAAGAGGCTTTTGTCTATGCGTAACACAACTCTACAGTGATATCTGGAATGAACTCCGTGCTAGATGAAATCAAAGGTATCGCCCCGATCCTGCAACATCTTTCCCACTCTCTTCGATCCCGCAACTCGCTCCAGCTTCATGGCATCGTACTTGGAGAAGAGAACCCGGACGGCGCCCTTGCCGGGCTCAATGGTAAAGTCCTGCTCGCTCTTGCTCAGGTACTCGCCCGCGATTTCCTTGTAAAAGACGGGGTTGTCCGGCAAGCCGTAAAATATGACGCGCTGGACTCCCTTGATCTGGAAGCGGCGAAAGTGGTGCGCGCGCTCCGAGTACAGCAGGACCTTGTGGCGGCCCGTCACAAAGTGCGAGCGCGCCCTCGACGCCTCGGGCACGTCGGTGTACTCGGAGACGGCGCCAAACGAGACGGCGGCGACGGTCACCGACGTGGCAAAGTAGTTGCGCACGCGCACAAAGTCAAGGTACGAGGGCACAAAGAGCAGCGTGCCGCCGGGGGCGGCGGCGTCCTTGGCGCGCTTGACCAGGCCGGGCACGACGGCCGACACAAAGTACGCGAAGCGCGCGTCCGGATCGCCGTCGAGCGCGTGCGACTGGAACCGTGAAAACGTCTGCCGCGCCTTGACGCCCAGCTGCACCAGCACGCCGTCGTACGCGGGCTGCAGCCGGGCCTTGCCGGCCCAGTTGCGGCACGCGCTGCGCTGCAGCTCCGCGAGCTCGGGCGCGTGGAAGCCGCTGAGGAGAACGGTCTGCCGAAAGTAGCGCGCCCAGTCGTCGAGGTACCAGGGCCGCAGGCGGCCAATGTCGCACCCGTGCGCGTCCTTGGGCTGTAGGTTGAGGCGCTCGAAAATGTACTCGATGTGCTCCCAGTTCTGCATCAGCAGCGCGTCGGCCTGGTCCACGACGACGACTTCGATGGAGCTGAGAAAGTCCGAGTCAGGCTTCTTCTTGTCCTCCTCGGAGCCCATGGCCATGCGCAGGCCGAGGGGACTGGCAAAGAGAATGTCGGAGCTGTAGAACTGCGCAAAGTACTTGATCGTCTTGCGGGTAAACTTGACGCCGAGGCGAAACATGTCGTCGTCGTTGCCCTCAAAGAGGTCGCGAAAATCGGCAGGTCTGTCGGCGCCAAAGATGTTGTCCTTGGTAATGTACGACTCGTCGAACCGCTTGCGGTTCTCCTCCTGGTCGGGCTTGCAGAGATCTCGGATCGTGCGTACCATGTTTGCGCACGAGTTGCGCGTTGGCAGAAGGAATAGCACCTTGGGGCGCGTGAAGCCCTGATCTCTGAATTCTTGCTCTGTTTCGGCGTCTTTGGCAAGCTTGTGGTTATTTTTGATTACCCGGTCTCGTGTCCTAATCGATTGTTAGTAGAGCCAACAAGTCTCTGGGCTCAGCACAAGCTTGACTCACTTGAAAATGTGATTCAGCGCATGGCTGCACACCAGCCGGCGCAAAGTTTCAGCATTGTCGACGTTGCGGTCGCAGTACAATACATCTTGGTAGTTGAAAAGGAGAGAAGCAATGTGCTTTTGTGCTTCGTCAAGTCCAGAAAGCGTCTTGCCGCAGGTTTCTTGTAGTTTCTGCTTCAACTTGATATCTTTCATGTCGAGGAATGAGAATGTGCTATCAGAGCCGGCAGACTGCACAGTAGCCCTGAGCGGCCCCAGAATCCTTCTCTCTGTCTTCCACTCATCGCTTTTGACTGCATTCACAGCCTTGGCTGAGCTGGTTTCGTCTGGATGCGCGAAGTGCACGTCAAAGGGGTCCAAGGATTCACCTTCATCCTCTGAGTCTTCTTCGTCTTCGCCTGCTTGTAGGACCTCTTCCTCTTCCTCTTCTTCTTCTTCTTCTACTAGGTCGGCATCCTGAGCACTTTTTTCCTCATCGCTGTGCTCGCTCTCTTCGTCTGAGTCACTAGCTTCTGCGTCTTCTGTGCCGTGATCTAATTTGCGACGCTTCGCATTGGGGGCGCTGGACTCTTGCAAGCTTTGTAGCAGCGTCATGTACGGGCGGCTGGTTTGCTCAGTCTCTTCCTCATCGTCGTCAGATTCCACACTCATCGTGTCGTCTTCCACCTCTTCTTTTCCGTCGTCTGAGCCCTCAGATGAATCAGAATCCCTTTACATTGTCAGCTTTTTTTTTCATACAGGAGTAAGACTGGGACGCAATACTGACTGCTCATCAAGACGGGCATTATCAAAACGACGATTCGGACCATATTGACTGTAGGATGCTCGACCACCTCGGCCTCGGCCTCGACCTCGACCACCTCCTCGGCCAGCTCCTCGACTGCCTCCTCGATTACCTCCCCGCGCTCTTATATTACCTCTCCCACGAGCCATGAGTTTTTTTGGGAGATTTTTATATGTGTAGTATAAAAGATCACTACCAGAAAAGAAGTTGAGGTCCCAAGTACCATAAAATGAAGATTTAAAGCACTAGCCACAGAGAGTGGGTCACGATACGATACCGCACCGCCACACCGGCTTATCATCTGCCTATCTTAGCGCGCACAACCCCAGCGGAGCCTGCCAAACGAGCAAATACGCAAAATCTGGGTTGAAATTTGGCGGCGCACCCAAAACGACAGCCCCTCCTTGTGGGAAGAAACTTGCTGGCACACCACCATCCACCCTTTTTCCGCCCTCCACGACGCAACCGCCTCCGACAAACCCAACACCACGATCCCCGGTCGAGAGTTTGCATCTGCCCAGCATGGCTGCCGCGACAGAGCGCTATATACATCTTGCGCGCCCGTTGGCCCACGCCAACGTTGGCATCCAGACCAACATTGCGCCCCTCAATGTCAATATTCAGCCCGAGGTGGGTAGCGACGATTTATACAGCCCCCTGAGAACTGGCCCCTCAAAATGTTGAGGAGACATTATTGGCGTATTTTTCTTTGTACCGGCGAAATACTGACGGGTGTCAAAAACTGCAGGCCATCCTTTCGATCCTCGATCACGCCGTTCGCCGCGATGTCCGTGACGGAGCTCAGCCCACGCGCGTCATTGGTGCCCTAGTAGGCACCCGCTCCGAGGACGGCACCGAAGTCGAGGTCCGCTCGTGCTTTGCCATCCCGCATACCGAGGAGGAGGACCAGGTCGAGGTCGACGTCGAATACCAAAAGAGCATGCTCGCCCTCACGCTCAAGGCCTCGCCCCGCGAATCGCTGCTCGGCTGGTACACGACCTCGCACGAGCTCAATAGCTTCAGCGCCCTCATCCAAAACTTCTTCGGCAGCCCCGACACCGGCACCTTTCCGCACCCGGCCGTCCACATGACCATCTCGACGGAGCCCGGCGAGGACATTGAGACGCGCTGCTACATCTCGGCCCCTGTCGCCGTCAACGCCGAGCGCGCCGCCGACAGCTGCCTCTTCATCCAAGTGCCCCATAAGATGCTCTACGGCGACGCCGAGAAGAGCGCCCTCGAGGCCGTCGCCTCGGCCAAGGACGTCGAGTCCCGGACCGTCCCCCTGCCGTCCGACATTGAGGGCCTCGGCCGCTCCATCCAGCACACCATTGGCCTCCTCGACCGCGTGAGCGAGTGGGTGAATGGCGTCCTCGACGAGGACGAGGAGCCCAACAACGCCCTCGGCCAGTACCTCCTGAGCGCCCTGTCGCTCGCCCCCAAGGTCGACGCCGCCCAGATTGAGCACGACTTCAACAACCACATTCAGGACGTCCTGATGGTCAGCTACCTCGCCAATTCCATCCGCACCCAGATCGACCTCTCCCAGCGACTGGCCACGGCCAACCTCGTCGCCATTGACAAGGACGGCGAGGGCAAGGCCGGTGAAGGCGAAAAGGGTAACCAGCGCGGTGGCGGCAACAAGCGCGGCGGCCGTGGTGGTGCCCGGGGAGGCGGCCAGCAGCGCGAGCAGCGCGAGCCCAGAGAACACAGGGAACCCAGGGAGCCCCGCGAGCCCCGCGAGCCTACGGAATAGGCTATGGCACATACTGACTGGGTTGCAGTGGCATGTCTCAAGAGTTGAAATGAGATAAAGGAACGGAATTATAAATGAAGCTTTTTATTGGTTTTATGGCGGGTTTTGCATCTTGGACACGGAACAAGGTTGTTCTCAAGTGTCTTTGAAGCCCAAATTGTCTCCCCTCGCTCCCCCGCCTGCGCTCTGATGTACAGTGCTGCGTGTTTTTTATATTGAATCACATAGACGACGATATGAGGAGAAGAGCAAGTCCGGGGAATGGCATCAGAAGAGGACATGGGCCTCTGGAGAAAGCTTCGGCTCTTGGAGAGTAGGACGGAAACACTTCATCGTGGCGTTTTGTGGGCTAGGCCAAGAAAAGAAATGAACAAGTCATCACTTATTTGGCAAACTCATACATTTAGAAAGGATCAATCTTAAAAAAAAATCTTGATACAGTCTCTTACACCTCATAACCGAGATTTCAGCCGGTGTGTTGCATTCAAAATTATTCAACTGTTGGTTTGTGGCTTCGATCTATGATATATTCTTTCTCTTTCGCCCCTTATGGATATAGATAAAAGGCCAAATGCAAAAAGTTATCCTAATCCGCCAGTTCCCTTTGATCTTTTATTTTCGTTTCATAACGCCCAGATATGCTGCAATCCCTGCCATTTGCGCCATTCACCAGTTTGCCGTTCCCTGTCTGTATTCGACTGATTGCAAGTCCCAAAATGTTCCCCTCACATTCCCGTTGTCGGCTTTTGAGGCAACGAAGCGGGGTTCCCGTACGTGGGCAGGTGGCTATACATTTGGCCATTGGGTAATGATCCGTGTGGTAGTGGTCTGCTGTTCATTGGCATTGGCGGTTGCTGAGCCATATGCTGAGGGGGTTGCATAACCACGTGTGGAGGCGTGCCCTGAGGAGGACCATGATAGGATGGAATCGAATTGTTAGAACCCTGTCTGGCCATGCCATATGCCCCACCGTATGGAGGAGGCATGGGGGGTTGGTATCCCGTATAGGCCAAATGAGGTGGTGTGCCGATTTGGGGACTGCCGTGATGCGATCCGGGTGCCGTAAATGGCGGCTGCGGTGGGTGAACAGGGGCCATGGGCGCTCCGGGGCTGAACGATTGCGTCTTGGGGTTGAAAGCGTGATTTCGATTGTAGCTGCCTGGAATGGGATGCTGGCTTTTGGGGTCATGCGGATTGGCATTAGCAGGCAATTGCCCAAAGGCGTACGGGATACCACCAGGGCCAATGCCAGGGCCATGATTTTGGATTGGTGCCTGTGGTGGTCCTGGGGCGGGCACCTGGGGCGGGTAGAGCACAGGCGCATTATACGCAGGCTGCCATCCATGGGGTGGTGTATTCGAGGCCATTTGAGGCTGTGGTACATACACTACAGGGCTTCCTCCAGCGGGGTACTGCACGACGACTTGAATTAGCGGTTGAAGATTTGGGATGAGGGCTACAACATACCGGTGCCGCAGGATATCCAGGATAGCCGGCATTGGGTGGCATAGTCGGGACAGGACCATACGCTGGCCCTTGTTGCGCATAGTTTGGCGGAACCTGGTAGTTAGACGGGCCCGCGGTTATATACTGCGCGCCAGGGGGTCCGTACTGCGCCTGCGATTGCGACACCCATGTTTGTTGCTGAGGTCCCCAGAAAGGCTGGTACTGGTGTCGAGAATCGAAGCCGTCTGAGTCGCGGCGCTGTTTGTTTCCTTTTCCACGTTTTCCCAGATTTGACCTGTTAGCCGACGCGGAACTTGTTCGTGACATGCCGACTTCTGCGCCATTGTCCGCTTGGGAAAAAGTCAGTATAGTGCGTCCTCATTCGCATAGACAGGGACCAACCTGTGGTATTCTCCTCTGCGCCAAAGATTCTATCTCTAGTAATCTTGTACATTTCTTCGCGTTGCTCTCTCGAGAGTCTATTTTGTGTTAGATTTTACATAGAGTTCAGGATGTCGTTCGACTCACTTTTGGTTGGCGGGTTGCTTGTCCTTTAGATCGCTTCCGGTTTCAGAACCAGGCCCGGATGGACCAGCACTCGCGCCATCGCCTTCCTGTCCACGTCGCATAATCTTTCGCGGCAAGAGCGCAGGTGGCGGCGTGCTGTCAGATGGCGGTGTCGTCTCGGGCACCATCTGTGCTAACGATGGCGGAACACGACAGAAAGGGGTTCGAAATATCCGGACAGATCCAATATGTGCTTCAAAAGAATGTGTCATGTGGTAGTAGTCAGCCAATTTATGGGTCAACATTCTACAAAAGGAGTTGGACGGCGGTAGATCCATGTAAGGCTCTCTGGAAATCATGTTAGAATGAGCATTGTCAGCAATAGCATACTGTCTTACTTGGAGTTCTGTACAAAGTCAATAACATCTTTTTCGAGACGCAGCAAGAAGAAGCGATCGCGTGGTGTGGCCAGCGCATCAATGAGTTTCTCGTCAGGGGCTTGGCGATATATGGCATTGAGCGCATTTGATGGCCTAGCCTCGCCACTGAGCTGGAGCGGCGCGCCATTCTCAATTTGCTGCTCGGAAGACGTGCTCTGTGGTGTGAGAACGCCGGCGGGGTGACTACCCATGGCAATGGTCGGCCGGGCACGGGCTCTAGTAGCCGCTTCTGAGCCCAAACGAGACCCCGGAAGGAGAGATGCTGCATCGTCATCCTCGGCAGCTGCTTGTACACTTGCACTATCATCTGGGCGAAGCGACTCCTTTTCGTCCAATGCAAATGTTGTTCCTGATGTAATGCTCTTGCCGTCAAGACTGGGAGGCTTAGTCCCTGGGTCGGAGTTGGAGTCGATTCTTTGGATGGCCGGCAGCTTATCCGCAGCGGCGGCGTTGGAGACTGTCGAGTCAAGATTGAGATTGCTCAGCGACGCAGACGTCGTGTCAACGTTTGGGGCTACGCCTGGCCGCTTGAGCGGCATGGCAACTGATTTTGGTATGTGGGATGCGCCGACGACCACGACGGCATCAGTCGCCAGGGACCTTTGCGCAGCCTCCATCGGTAAAAGACAAGAGAAGAGTCGTGTTTCGAAATCGTGTTCTATGCCTTGAAATTAGCGGTTTAACGTCGAGAGAGAGACGTTGGTGTTGCGACGTACGTTTGCTACAGCGGGCGTTTGCGCTGGTAAAGGGGGGTATAAGTGGCAGAAATCTACCCGATTCAAAGCAGTTTCGTCAAGGAAAAAAAGGTATGCGGTACAGGGCACGTTCAAGATGGGAATAACGGCAAAGCCAACAGAATCTCAAGAAAATCAGAGCCGTTCGAAACGAATTTAGCAGAGAAGGCACCGCGCAAGTCTCATGATCGAGGAAAATAGGACATGGTTCCCGGTATTTCGAAGACGTTCGCAAGTGCCGAATCGATCGAGGTGATTTCTGAAGTATTTTTTTTCGTCCTGCAGGAAATGCGGCGCTGCAGGGGATAGTTAGCTATCGTGATGCTCGTGATGTTCGTGATGCGTCGGGGTTGGCGTCGATGTCCTGCGACTCTCAAAAAAGAAATGTCGTGGGGCTTGAGAAATTGTGGCCGACGTCAAGGAGGGGGGCAGTTGCGCTGTGGAGGGGGAGAGAAGCACCAGGCAGAAGAAACCTACAAGACGAAGAAAATAGGCAACAAGGGGCCAAGTCGTACAGACCAGTACTCTAGCTATTTATGAAATAGGCAGCAGGATGCAGGCGGCAAGGTTCGGGTTGTCGCTTCAAATAGAAGAAATATTTAGCAGACACAGCAGGTCAAAAGTTCTGGGATCTTGTTCGAGCGGCCGCCCTCCCACGGCTGTGGCGTTTACTTTAGCTGGATACCATGTCAGGTGACTAGGCTGGGTCGCCCAATTCGCCTGTGGTCGTCCGCATAGCCGGAAAGCGATGTTTCGGGAAAAAAAACAATTCAGGCTCAAAATTGTAAAAAAAAAATCGAAGATTGTGCTGCCCAATATTATTACGATTTTCAAAGTTATCCCGCAGGTCAGTGTGTACCGTCGCCAGCCCGCTTCTTCGTCGTACATGGCACAAGGCGGCGAGTGCAGAGGATTTACTATAGACATGTCTAATTTTATCGTACTTTCAAATCTTTAGATGGTTGAACACAATGTTTGATTTTCTCTCTCATATAATCTCATGCACTCTCGTTTGAAAAAAAAATTTGTCAACTGAGCAGCCGACCGAGGTGCCTCCATCGAATCTAGAACAGGTCACGTGCACAAGGTCAAAAGTCCTGCCAGCCTCCTCTCTAGTTACAGATTACCTACCAGAAGGGTGCTGTCACAAGCCGCCATCAATTCAGTCCCTTGTATCTTCAAAAGCTTCAAAAATGCATTCTTATCGCAGCGGGCCTTCACGGTCGACACCGGCCAACGTACAGTGTCAAAAGTGCTTAAAACGAGATATGTCTTGTCCGCCCAGCTCATCACATCATCTTTGCTAACTACTTAGAACGACACTATTCATATGAATGCCAAGCGACCGCCCAAGAGAGGCCATATGTTTCTCGGCCCTCACGCACACAGCAACTTCGCAACCCCAAACTCGTTCCCAAGCTCACTAATGATGCCCCGAATCCCTTGGAGAAAAAGTACGTTGTCTGGCGCGTGCGATAATCCCATCCAGGTTGCGACTGACACGAGTATAGGAAGGGCGCCGCAGATGAGGAACTTGCTAAGAAGGAGGCTGAGAGAGAAAGGAGACGCGCATTGGAAGACGACGACGAGGGGCTGGATGAGCCCCCGCGCCGGCCGAGGTCACCTTCTGTCGAGTCTGTGTCAACAGTGTCTACAAACTCGCGCGGTGGCTCAGCATCGCCACCTAGGCGCCGACAAGATCGACATAGCTCTGAAAATGTCGAAGAGGCTGGTGAGATTGCCGAGTCACCACCCAGACGGCAGCTGTCGAGAAGTCCGTCGCCGCGCCGCAGCAGGGAGGAGCATACCGATCGGCGGCGAGTATCCCCGAGGGGGTCAGATCGCAGGCGCAGGGAGGAGTATCGCCGCCGGTCACGGTCGCCACGGGAGCGACGCGACAGAGAAGAACGTCGCGGGCATGGGGATCACAGAGGTCGCGGAGACAATCGCGAACGGCAAAACGCTGCCCCAAAGAGTCCGCCCAGGGAACGGAGTCTAAGTCCCTTTAGTCAACGTGTAGCCATGACGCGATCGATGCAGCGGTAAACAGAACGGGGGGTCAAAGGATGAAGGGTATCAATATTTACACCAGTTGGCCCATATCTATATGTACAAAAAAAATGCCAGAATTTCCCCAGTCAACCCGTGATTATGCAGTCAAGGCTTCCTCTTCTGCCTTTTCGCGCCTTTCTTCCTCCTCTTCCTCCTGCTCTCGTACTCTCAGAGACTCGACGAGTGTAGCGCCATCCATTCCGGCAGTTTCAGAGTCTTGTCGACCTGACGTTTTTTCGGCTGCCTTTTGCGCAGCGGTAATGCGATCCTTAACCAGGCGCGCAATGGCATTGTCTGTGCGGACGTTCAACACGTCCAACCTTTGCTCCAGGTTGCGTTTCAGATCCCAATTAGGCTTCTTGGGCTGCAGCTTGAAAAGATCAATGCCCTTTTCCTCGGCGGCTTCGGCGGCCGCTTGTTGCCGCACTTGAGCTTCGAGTTCTGCGGCTTGCTGCTCGAGCGTGGCTTTGTCGTCTGCCAGGGTAGGCGGCGCCTCGAATCCGAGTTTCGGTCCGCGCGTCTCAGGGTCGTAGTTTCGGCCCGAGAGGTGCAAGTGCGTCACGTCGAGAGGCGACTCCTCTTCCTCGCCCTGCTCGTTTTGCTTGTTGTTGGAGGGAGCTGGGGATCGCTCGTCGGCTTCGGGCGCGACGAGCTCATCGGTGGGCTGCTTGCGCTTGAGGTTCTTGAGCTTAGCAAGGCGAGCCTTGCGATCCTCCGACGCGGCGCTCAGGGTGTTATGCGACGACATTTTGCAGAACTATCGACAACGGGTAGGATCAATCGCCAGATACTGTAGTTGGAATGGTTTTCTTGGGTCGAGAAGCTCAAAGATTGGTGGGGCGGAAGAAAGTCGATGCCAGGCAGAAGTGCGACACAAGCGCTGGAAAAAAAAGGTTGGCGGCTCTCGGCCCACCTAAACTTGTCTCCTTGAACACAACCCCCGACGACGAGAGCGACAACCCTTGCGATTTCGAATAGTACATCATGGCAGAAGATTGAACAGTGGCATGGAAGATAGTGTCAGCGTGTGCCACAGAGAAGATGTACGGCGCAAGGAGGGGGCTGTGCTTGAGGGCTCACATGACGCAACGCTCAACATCGCGATGCGCCAGTACCAGCCAATCACGCCCAATACGGAGATTGACACAAGAGCGAACAGCCACTACTTTGCTATCAGATTCCATGCGCAGAGTATGCCTTGCCCCGGGGCATTTCGAAGCGTCCCTGGGGCTGCCATCCGCCCGATCACCTATCTCGCGAGACTACTCGACGATGGTCGAGGACGCCATGAGGAATAACAGATTCGAAATTGCACAAGCGACCGACGAAGTGGAACAAAGTACAGGCACTGCCCAGCTTTCGCCCTCAGCCCAAACCCATGAAGCGCAACCTGTTCCAAAACCCTCCGGAACGTCCCGCAGAAAGTTTCGCCTCCCCCACGTACCCGATAGACTGAAGCGAGATAAGCGTCAGCTGCAGCGTGTCAGGATGCAGCAATTGGAGAAATACAGCCAGTGGGGCTATATGAGACATCAATATTCGGGATCAGAATACCGTGTTGTGCAAAGACGATTCAATAAATGGAAGCAAAAAATACATCGACTGGAATCTGGCCGTCCGTTAGGCACGCCACACGACGGGGATCGGGGCAAGTGGTTATATGATCTTTCCGATATAACACTCATGCGTGAGGCCTGGGAGGCAACTAGTGTCGAAAGCAGGCAAGAGAATTGGCCAGACGTCATGCTCGGCACGCTGCATTCGTGTCCCAGCAAAGCGAGCATGGTTCTAGAAGCAACTATGAACCCGCTGCCGCCTGGCTATGCTATACACGATGTTCTGCGCTTCATAGCGCAAAATCTACAGCTTGACAGCATCAAGAATGCCCACGATAGAGCCTCGATGGCTGGTGAGGTCTTGGCTCTACTGGCCCACTTGATTGAAGATATCCCACAAGGCCATATCCCATCCCAACAAAGCACCTTTGGTCTCTTCGCACGGCAGCTTCCAGTTGCCCAAGCTAAAGATCTATACGACATACTGGAGAGGGCGAATTTTACACTACACAAAAACACGCGGCTGCAGTTCGCCACAAAGCTGGCTGGCGAGGCCGCCTACAAGGATGCTGCTTTCGCAATACTGAAAGAAATGGCAGAGAAGGGAGACACGTTAAATGATGCCGCCTCGGCCAGTACAGTCACAGCACTGCTGCATTGCAAGACCACAAATGATGGTTGGACACAGCAAGTGAAGAGCTTCGCGGTAAAAGATGTCCTGCAGCTGTTCATGGAGCACGGTCACACGCCGAACACAATCACATTGACAGCTATACTGGATTCGCTGTGTCACCAGGGGCAGGCGGAGGAGGCCATTCGCCTCGCTTTGTTATTCGCGGAATCTGGTGTGCCACTGGATGCCAAGGCATTCACCACTGTTTTCGCCGGAGCCAAGGCCAGCCTGAACGTCGAGATCGTGGCCAAGGCTCTGACGGTTGCCAAGGTCACGCCAGTATCGTTTGAGAGCGTGTTGAGCAACATCCTGCATACCGTTTTTTATTTTGCGGACACGGAGACGCGAAGCAAGAGCCTCAAGGCGCCGTGGTCGATACCAATGTTTCGACCCATGCTAAAAGTATACGCAAAGAAATTCGAGCTCAAGTCTCTGCAGTGGTGGCTGCCGGACTCGCTGCCGCTGCTTCTGGGCGATGAAGGCGTCGATACAGAGTTGGACGATAAATTCCGCGACCCGCTGGGCCGCGAGTGGGATTTTATGCACACAATCCTCCCCCTGGCCGACAGACTCTTTACAGAAGACGGTGCCACGGAGGGCAAGCTACAGCCCAATACTGCGGCCGACGGGGTGATGCTGCGAGCATACATTCGATCGCTGTCTCGCCCGCAGGATATTCTGTCATTTTACAAGTTTTTCAGATCGCGGTTAGAAGAGCAGAGCAAATACCCCTCGCTCCTGCGGCAAAACCAGGGCGCCATGATCCACGACACATTCATTCTGGTTATGACTGAGCACCCGGAGCTGTGGAGGGAGGCATTACATGTGTTTGGAGATATGCTCCAAGACTCTCTACGCACCAGATCAGCGACTAACCCCGACGACGCGTCCAACAAGACCACGACGGCGGCGAGCGAGGTTATTGAACCCGAAGCCTTGGCCACCGCGGCTGCAACGGCAAAGGCCAAGCCAGTGCATCCGGCGCCGACGGCATTCACGCTCACGGTCCTGTTGCGCGGCTTGCTCTACCAGGGTGAAAATGCGCTCGCCGCGCAGATGATGCAGGTGATGCAGGAGCTCGACATTGAGCCCAACCTTGTGACGTGGAACACGTTGGTCCGGCATCACGCGCTGGCGCAAAACACACGGATGACGGTGACGTTGCTGCAGGAGATGGAAGCGGTCGGTGTGAAGCCCGACATGTATACGTACAATGCATTTAACAGGCTGCGAGACCAGGACAAGGCGCTGACGATGATGCAGAGCATTGTCGACGAGAACCGCAGGAGCCTCGTGGCAGGGTAAGCGCCACCTAACCGCCCAGGCGTGCTCTTGTACACTACCTTTTGTATCTATAAAGGATGGAAGTGCCGCGGTGGTGGCATTGGCGGTAATATCAATACTATATGCTTTTTCATTGTGACACCCGGTCGCCTGCCGAGGAGCAGTTCAGCTCTGCCCACAACGCGCAAACGGCGAAGAGCGACGCAGAAGCAGAAGAAACCAAACATTATCACCAACCCAGCCAACGCCTACTCCCTCAAGACCCTCCCGTTGTCCGCCATGCCGGACCCCGATATGGCGCAAGGACGGGGATCGCGTGCTGTGGGCGCGCTGTACGGGCTCGCGGTGCGCATGGCGCAGCTTCGTCTGACCCCGTTTGAGGCCGAGATGCGCCTCCGCTCGCCGCCATGAACGTGGACATCAAGACACGCCACTGCCTGTTAGTTCTGCGCCAAAGGCCGCGCCGGTACCTTTGGTCAACTTCTACTCAATACAGGGTCATTCAATGCCTCACACCCATCATCAGCCAGCACCACCACCTCCGCCTCACCCCCTCCACACACATCACCACCAAGTCGCCGCTACCACCGCCTCACAAGGCATGTACTACGACCTCAACAGTGGAGACTATCTGGCCATGGCCGAGACCGCGCCCGAGCCCGATGCGCCAATCAGTTTGAGCCAGACCGCCGACCTGGAAGCGCTGCTCTACAGCACAGAAGGCGTCAACTGGGTGAGATCCCACTTTTCACTGAGCTACCTGTCAACCGCTGCTGACTTTCTTTTTTTTCTCCCTCCTAGAACTCAATGATCAGTTTTGAGAATAGCGGCAACAAACAAGGCTGGTCGAGCATCTTGCAGGGTGGGTGTATGACACCAGCAAAGAATGCAAAAAGACGCCCCCCCCCCGAAAAACAGGCGCGGGGGAGCTCTGTGGTAATGATGATGGCTTTTTGGGTGTTTCTGTTGTATTAGATGTATGAAGTAACGTTACTCTAGAGTTTACGGTGGGAATCTTGTGAGTATTCGTGGTCGTTCACCGATTCCAGGTCTTGCTTTTACCCGTTCTGATATCACGCAACGATACCTATGGCGGCGTGTAAAACATCGGCCAACTAGTTTTTATTAGGCGGTAGAAAGCTGCAGGCAAAGGTGGCAAAGTACGTTCCAAGTCTAATCGGCCGTTTTTTCTTTGTTCTATATACTATTGGGTGGCTGGAGCCATTTCTTGGTTACATTTTACAAAGCACATCCCACTACACCAGAGTTCTGAAACCGACTCGTCTCTCAAGCTTTGTGTATTTTTTCTTCTTTTTGTGGTTGCAAAATGTCATAACCGTCATAATAAATACAATGCAGAATGTTCAGTTTTCGGATAACCCAGCAAAGACATCCAGTAGAAGCAGGACGGAGAAAGTCAAAACATCTACTCACATTGCCCAAACAAGCGTGCCGTTGATTTCTTTCTTGAAGATAAAAATAGACTATTGCAGTCAAACGGGCGAGATGCGAGACAGAATCGTAAGGTAAAAGGAACGGGCTGTTGCATAAATCAAGTGCTCGGCCAAGGGAATATGAATCAAGATGAAAGGGATCGAATTGCAAAGCGTCTTAGATCGGGGCCACACCACGCAAAACACGTGCGGGGTTACCAGCCACGACGGTGAAAGGAGGAATATCCTGAAAGAGAGTCAAGTTAGCGCCAGTGACACATACAGGTGAAAGCGGATGGGTATCGGGGAAACGTACTTTGGTAACAACCGAGCCTGCGCCGACAGTAGAGCCCTTCCCAATAACCTTGCCAGGCATGATAATTACACCACCACCAATCCAGCAGTCCGAGTCAATAATGATGGGCTTGCCTAATTGTGCACCGTGCCCACCCTGGCGGTGCTTCGGATCAGTCGACAGTTCGATGGTGTACATGCTGACGTTGGGCCCTAGGATGCAATTATCGCCAATCTGGATCTTGCCCGCATCATTCATGGTGCAGCCTTTTGCGATGGAGACATTGTTCCCAATGCTGATGTTGTAGCCGTAGTCACAGTGGAAAGGGGATTCGACGGCGACGTGACGTCCAACACGGCCAACATTGCTGCGGCTAGAGGCCTCTTCAACGGGGATGGAAGAAGAGTCACGCGGCTGCATAATCTCAAGGAATAGACGGGCACGTTCCTCCGTAGAGACTCCATTGGTGGGAGGATACGTCAGCGAGTTGAACCGCCAACAGGCCGTGGCCGCGCGGTCTCTCTCGGCGCTCAGTTCCGCATCATACTGATAAAAGTAACCGCCTTGGAGCATTTCATCTTTCTGGGTGGAGCGTCTCTGGTCGAAGGGAAGAACTGCCAGGTTGTGGGGCTGTGCCTGGGCGTGAGAGAGTGCCATCTGGGCCGCCATCTGAGCGCTGGATACGGGTGGTGCCTCGTGGTGTCGCTGGTAGTCGTTAGTGACGCGATCACCAAAAGCGGGTGGTTGAGTGTTGGCTGATACCGGAGTGGGATAAGCGTTAGATCCAGGCGTGTAGGGACCGGGTGGGTGCTTGTGCTCAGGGCTACCGGAGGGACCATCAGCTCCCTTGGCTGTGTCGACTCGAATGTTCTGGCCGCGGTACTGGGGTAGAGGCTCGCGCTTGGGGCCGCTTGGTTGGCCGCTATTCGCGGCTTGTGAAGACGTGTATGGCGAAGCAGGCATGCCGTATGCACCAGGTGGCACGTAGTTGGGATCCTTGGATTCGAGTGGAATGCCTCCGGGCTTGTTTTCGACCATCTTCGGCCAGCCAGCGCCTCGCTGGGGTGGATATCCGGCGCATACAAATGCCCCCTTGATACAATTGTTACCTACAAGGCCGTTAGTACCATCTTAACAAAGGGACAGGGGTTCCGTAGGGCTTACATTCTGGCTTCGCTTCGTCGCACTTCTTCTTTCTTCTGCGGCAAGTCAGGCATCCAGTTTTGGTTCGGTTGCTGAAATTGCGCTTTCGTTTCTTAGGGTCATGCTGTACAACGGTGCCAGAGCGTTCTTCCGAGTATGTCGGGGTATTGTATTGGACGACAGCTTGGTTATTCTGGGGTGTGACGGGCGTATATTCGACCTGGCCAGCAGGCTGACGTTGAACAAGGTGCTGCTCCCCAGGGGCCCGAATGGAAACGGAAGGAGGAGAAGCCTGGTATCCAGGCGTCGATGTACGTGCATCGCCACTCTGCGACTCTGGTCGGAGATAATCGCCGTTGGCAACGGTTCCAGTCTCTGGTGTGCGCTCCTGCGTGCGCTCAGTGGATTTATGAGTGCGTTTGGCGGCTTGGGTAGGGAGTGAAGTCCTGCCTTCGTTCGAATGGGACCGCTTGCGCTTGTTGGAGGAATCATTCTCACCTGGCGCCGGGGCAGAGGGTGTGCGATCTAAGCCCTTTGTTGGCCAGCTCTCACGCTGATTAGGAGATTGAGCGGTGGGAGGTTGCGTGGTCCCGGTAGCAGAGTAGTCGACAGGATTGGCAGGGAGCGGGTTCGGTGCTTCAGCGGAGGTGTGAGAACGATGGCGAGCGGAAGCGTCGACACGAGATGGCGCTGGAGGAGGAGCCAGAGCCTGACCGGGCGCGGCTTCGACAGAGGCGGCGGGAGCCGGAGCCGGTTGGTTGGACTGCTCGTCGGCGGCACCATTCTGAGCGTCAGAGCTGGAGGCAGCAACAGGTTTGGTTGACACCTTCGGCGAGGAGCCATTCAGTGCCGTAAAACCGGACATGGTAGATGAATTCGCAAAACAGGTCAAGTTGGAGCTGACGTTGGCCAGCGGCGGTGGAGTGTGTTGGCTATCGTACCCAGGCTTCGATGAGACTTTTGGTGCAAAGGCTGAGAGTTGGACGAAGTCAAACAGTCAAAAATGGATTCCACTGCCGGGCCGGCCGACTGATAAGGTGCTGGTTGAGAGGCAAGACCAAAGATCACAAAATCATGAGGGGAGGAGGGTAAAGACAAGGCGTGTCGGAAGAAGACGTTCTGCGACTGATGTAAAGAGGAAGAAAAATAATAAAGAGAAGGAGGCGACAAAAATTGATATTACAAAAATTTGTCCGACACAGAAAAGGGGCCAGGCAAAGGTGAATGAATTGTTGAAACGTGAGGTTGGCGCGCGACTATGGCGGGTGAGGCAAAACAGGGCGCCTCCAAGACGATCGCTGATGGGCGGCAGGAGGGCGGGTAGATGCGATTAAACCTAAAAGATAGGCAGAGGCGACCAAAAGAAAAAAGGACGGTGGCAAGAACTGGAAGGTGACAGGGCCGTACCGAGATTTATGTTGAAGAGTATGAAATGCGATGCTTGGGAAGGCACGAAAATGCGTGGGAATGAAGCGGACGTGGAGGTGAGGACGCGAAGGAGTCGGGCTGGGGGGCGGAGGGAGCCTAGCATTTTGAGGAAGCAGGCGGCAACGGCTCGACGAAAGAATTGGCGGCACGCGGAGCCAGTCGAGCCTTTCTTGATGCGGACTAGTGCGAGTATGCTTTGTAGGTACTGAGGTACCAACCAGCGAACTGCCCGTCCAATGTCCAGCCTCGGGGCTGGTACAAATTACTGTACTACGGATACCAAGTACAGATTACCTCGAGCAAGTCTGAATGAATTGATGACTGACTACAAATTATTACGTAGAGCTTCAACGGTGAAACAACGCAGAGAAGATGAGGGTGAGCTCTTCGTCTCGCCAACAAGTTGCGGCCCGAGAGACGAGGCAATAAAAAAATAAATAAAAAAAATAAAAAAAAGAAGAAAAAAGGCCAAAGGGGGGGGCAGGGGCACTGAGGGCTGAGGAGCGCTTCTCCCGGGGTGGGAGGGGCGCCTGGCTGGCTGGTGCTCCAGCAGAGACGGCGCTATATTTGTACGGCGTGCAGTTGAGTGCCCACCTGCGGCGCAGAAAGGCGAGGAGCAGGAAAATGATGAGGGAGGGGGCGTGTGCGAGACGGCGGCGCTTGAAAAGCTCGAGCCCGTGCAGCGTGCAGGCGGGCGTCGGCGTATCGAGGAGCGAGCGGCGACAGGGTAGGAGGCCGACACGGCGTGTGTGTGTGTCTTGACTCTTGGGAGAAGAGCGACGCTATCAGCTCTGTCGCGCTCAACAGATACTCATTCTCCCCTCGCCGTCGACTTGCTGATAAGTGAGCAACGAGACCAGCAAACTTACACAGATATATTCCTATCAGGTGCTTTGGTGCTACGACCGGATGCTGCTGCTGCGGGGTGCCCAGGGCGTGTAGTCACTGGAACTTCGTGTGCTGATGAGCTGCCACTCGGCGGTCGTCGACAAAACCAAATGAGCCCAGCCCACACCCGCAGTAGCGTGTGCGCGCGGGTGCGACAGCGTAGAGCGTGTGAACAAGTGTGAGTGGGTGCCATGCGAGCGCGCACATGGTGGCCAATGACGCGGCGGGATTCAGGCGTGGCTGGACATGGCTGGCCAGGATTACAGGATGGCGGGTCCGTTGATGATATCGAGGATGAATGACTGGTACACTGTCGTGCTGAGAAGGATGGATCAGGGTGGCCGGGAGGGCGCCAGGAGACGAGGATGGGGGAGAGATGCGTCCGTGAATTACTAAGAATTGGGACAACGAGAGACAAGAGGATGGATGGTACGGAGTAGTTGTCGATTCATACGAGCTAGCTACCTATAGGTACCTTGTCCGCATGCCGCGTTATTCTGTCTGCCGCCCACTTGCAGGCTACGATTGCCCTTGTTGAATGTCCCCCCCCTCTTTGTAGGGCAGTGCCAGGCTGAGCCAGCCGCCACTCTTCTTCGTTTAGCAGGCCCAAGCTGGCAAGCCCTCGTCAGTTGGCGGCCTATTTGTCGCCAGCTGTCGATGATGTTGCCACCCGCCAACTGTCAACTTCTGCCACCTGCCTGCTGCCTGCTGCCACCTGCCTGCTGCCTGCCACCTGCCACCTGCCACTGCCTGCCAACTGCCACGTTCCTCTGTTTGCTCTCCTCCCTCCATATTCTCCCAACCAGCGCTCAACATTTTAAAATACAATCATGCTACAAATCACCTACCTACAATTCACGTCGCCAATTGTTGCTCTAATACACCCTATATTACCCGCTCGCCGCTGCGCCCGCCCTCGAGCGCCTTTATTATTGCGACGACAGCCTCGTTTGCTCTTCCCCGCAGCTTCGTTTATCGCCCTAACTTAGTAGTTACGAGTTATCCGACAAACATCCATTCACAATACTTGCCATCCTCCCCACCCAAATCGCAGCTCATGTCGACTCATTATTCATGACGGAGAAGCCCCCGCGCTCGCAGCAACGTAAAGCAGACGCCAGCCTTCGTCCATTTACCAGCTTGATAACTTGGTCTTCTCTCACCCACTCCTCCGCTCCTTCTTCTCATAACGACGCCGACAACATGAATACAAATATTCGTACCTTGGTCGCTTTCACTAGGTATTCAGCACACCGCTCGTTTTAATTAAATGCTTCCAAGTTCCGGCCCCCCGGGACCCAGTTGCCAGCGCCGCCTCTGTCCCCGTGCGTGGATGCAAGTGGCCACCACGTCCATTGCCCGATCGAGGCGCCGCTCGGGTGTTATTAGTGTCGGTGTTGCACATGTCGTGCTTAATTCGGCTAACAGTAGCTCTCTGGGTACTGTACCTCCCCCTTGCTTGTCGCCCTCGCACACTCCGTCGCCATTGACCTTGACCGCGCCTTTCACACATGCTTGGTCAATTGCCGTCGTTACGTCGCCGCCCGTTTCTACCAAGCCTCGCAAGCGACGCCCTTTGCCGTCCTGACACTACCGTGCCGCGCCCGTCCTCACCTGTCCCTATCCTGGTGAGCCACCGACTAAACTACAGGTCTCTCTTCTGTGCCACGGCTATTCGTATTGTGCGGCTACGAGACTCGCTGCGGCTACAGGCTACTACACCTCAGGAAAGCCGGCATAGTCATCCAAAGTACCCGCAATAATACTCGGCACTGTCGACGATGACGACAACGACAAACAAGTGCCACCACTCGGTCTCTCTACCCTGCATCCGCTCAAGTACGGCAGTCATCAAGCAATGTAACCACACGCGAAACAACTCGCCGGCAGAAACCGATCCCCGGTCATTAGCGCTTCCGTGTCCTGCACAGAAGCCTTCCCTCCAATGCTCCGTCGGTCCCAATAACTGTTCGCCGTAACTAGCTGCGTCCTCCAGCGACGGTCTTGCCTATAAAGCCACCTAATTCGAGCAGAGGTGCCACCTGCTGCCACACCACTCCAGCACACCTTCTTGACCAAGTGCCCACTTGGACGCTGCTATGTGCCGTGTCTCACATCCCCGACACGCTTAGTGGTATGCCTGAGTGCCTGTGAACCTCAACCTTGCTCTTGTCCAGGTCCTTGCACAGACGCCGTTCGGCAACGAAACCAAAGCTGGCTGCGCTAGACGCGGCGTCAACAACATCCACACCACATGTCTCTGGTGATTGGCTGGGTCCCGTGCCCCTCGCAAACCCACTACGCCGGAGCCAGTACATATTAGTGACGGTTCTGGGCTGCTGGGTTACAGCCAGAGCGGGACAAAGGTGGCGGGACAAAATCCTCTTCACCAAGCCTGGCACCAGCATTCCACCTGTACTGCCCTCGAGTCTCAACATGCCCAGCTGGATCCGACCGTAATGCCTTGGCCGCTAGCAACAACAAACACCAAGCATTAATGTTTCATAAATTTTCAAGGCTCACATCATTTGCCAACCATATGTACAAGTGTCCGAGGCCGCACGGGCAGTGTGTCCAAATAACGAGTCCGCAGCTTCGCGGCAACCTGACCAGCAGAGACAGCAGGTCAATTGATCCGGAAAACCGAAGCCCTTGGAGCAGGGAACGAGCTTTCCGCGACCAGAGTCAAAGCCCACCTCCAAGCCTCCCCCCACCACCCCAACATCTGCGGAAACCAGTGTTCTGGAGGCGCCAGCTTGCGGCGGCTCGCTTGGCACACAGCAAGTTTGCACAACACTTTTTTTAACCTTGCGGGCACTGACGGTGTAAATTGACGCGCCACTCGCTACACAATGAATGCCAACGGTGAGACCAGGTCAAATCAGGCCATTGCCTCCCGCCTAGCTCGTGCTTCCGCACCTCTTGGCCCTGGCCTCAATAATAGCATTATCCGGCAAAATTGGTGACAAGCAGTGCAAAAATCACTTCCCTCAAGGCGTGATAGGACTCGGTAGCGGTCAAGCGCCTTGCATCAAATACAGAACCGTCCACGACGCAGAACCGAGACGGACTGATCGTTCGTCTAGCCACAGCTCCTGCTGGTTCTACAGAGTATTAAACGAAGAGCTATTAGTAGGCTGAACCAGGGTTGTTCCAGGGAATTGGGTCGGGACAGCTGATAACTCAACTAATAATGTACGGATAGGTAAGGCGCACCAATGCGTCGGACAAGACTGATGAATGAGTCGAGCGGCCGCATTTTAGTTAGCGGCCAAGAAGCAAACCTTTGGTACGAAAGCGGCGCCCACCGACAAGGCGCTTACCATTGAGAGTTCTCCTTTCCGAGACAGGGATCGAAAATCCGGTTGCGTCCAATTCTTTTGACTTCATTTCCCGAATTTCTATTACATCTAAACTTCGGTCAACTATCCGTACAACTCATGGAGAGCCTGTAGCTTTGGCACTAGTTTGGCCAGTTGCCAGGGTTTCTGATGATTCAAGGCCACGTGGTGGTAACTTACTAGAGTTTGCTTCTTGGAGTTGGCATCTAGTTAGACCTGGCTGACGTTGTGACGGCTTGCCACAGAGAGTACACACAGAGAGTACCGTGCAGCGAGGGTCAAGCTATGCCGATTTCGGAATTCGTCTCTGGTGCTGCCAGGGAATGCTGGAACCTCGCCCCCTCGTCTGTCGGCAGGCCGTGTTTGGCCTGTCGATGTCGGAACAGTAGACGCTATCACCGATGGCTCAGCGACACGTCAAATGTGGCGCCCCTTGGGCGCAAGCTGGGTGGAAGATGACGCCGGATTCGACTGCGGTGGAACGACAGGCCAGGCGCTTATCCAATGACGATGGCCTACAAGCCCGAGCTTGCTTAAAACTGGGCAAGAAAATAAGATGCAACTCTTGACGAGAGGAGTCGTTCTGAATTGTGTCAAGTTGGCGCACACCATCTAGCTGCAACATGGGCCATAACGTTGTATACATGCAGGATTGTATCCGTACGCCGGTAACTATTATAATATCTATGGGTGGTCTAGGAATTCTCTCGCCCAGCATGGCTGCATAAATGAGGGGCCCATGATGCTGATACACGAAACCATGGGTTTGCCACATGGCCACGCGCGAAGCGGCCAAGGTGGAATCACAAAGTATACCAAGGCGGAGAATGGTGAGGATTGTGGCGCGGCCATCGAGCGGCTGGTGGCCCTCGAAGCGTCCAGGCCTTGGATGTCGTCGGCCAGTGATGGCTCCGGTCGGCGGCTGTCTCGAAGGCCTGTATCAGAAACGAGGACAATTCCAAGGTACATGGCCTACGTTCGATCATACCAAGGGTCGGGCAGTCTTGTTGGTTGCGTCTGGGTGTGGTGTGCACAGCACTCGCTGCAACAAAGCCGATAGTTACAGTGTCAGCGCCAAAGGTTGCCCGTCCACTGGAAGGAACTCTCGCCGGCCTCCATCTTCGGGTGCCGACGAAAAACGAGGCTAGGGAAAGCCAAGTCTGCGTCTGGATGGTGTGGACAGTGCAGCCCCAACCAGGCTCTCGCTCCCGCACTCCCCTCCATTGTGGCGCATCACCACTGCGCAGAGTCGGCGCGCCCTCTAGGCTCTTGGACACGCCCTCGCAGGGGTCCCTCGTCTGGATACTACCCAGCATCCGAAAACAGGTGATTCTTCCGGCACCGTGAGAGTCAGGAAAAAAAGAGTCAAGGGCGAGTTTGCCAGCGGCTGGTCTGTTGCCGGTTTGACGGGAAGCTCGCGAGTTTGCCTGTTGTCGTTTTTCCTGCTGCTCGGCTTTTGTTCTTTTTCTACGTCGATCTAGGGAGTCCACTCTGGCCCGGTTGGCTTGTGCCCTGTCTAGTTAGTTACCGTTGTGCTGCCGCGAGGCGTCTTCACGGTAAGCGACTTTTTGGTGGTGGACTTGCGCCAGTAACACTCGCAGGTTGAAGTTACACTTGTTCGGTCCTCGCCTCGGTTCCAAGACTGCCGCCCGACAAAGAAAGAGCAAGTTGTGTTCGCCGTTGAGGGGGGGATGCGCCATTTGCGAGGGGGGTGGCGGCCTTGGTGCTTGTAACGATGACAAAAGTTCCCTATCCTCGTCGAGCGGCCCTCGCCCTCGGTGTATTCCGTCGGCTGACGGATGTTGCCGCACTCCAAAAGGGCTTTCCTGTGACCAGGGCCGGCCACCCGTTCCAAGCCACTAACTATTTGAACCAGCACTGCCGGGTAGCAATCAATAGTTTTGTGTGTGTTTGTCCAATAGAAGGCATTTACCCGGCCTAGCGAGCTTTGCGGTGAAGCGAACCGATATAACCCATATAACCCCCGCGCTTCTGGGAGGCCTGCGACACTGCTGCGTCTTACCAAAATGTGCCAGCGCAACCCGCTCACCCCGTTGTCCCGCCTTTGGAGAAACTGACTAGGTGTCTCTGGGATCTTGGGCTCCTGTCCTGTTATACAGGTTACCTTGCCATCCTCGAGTTATGACTCGTCGTCGTTGAGGAGTCTTGTTCCAAAAATAAACCACTGACAATGACGAGCATATCCCGTCTTCTTAGTCCCCGGCGCTTATCTGTTTCGTCGTTGACCCCTGGGCGGTTAGAGAGATCTCGCAGCCAAGGACTTGGTGGCCAATAGACAGAATGCATGGCATAACGTCTACGCATGCGATAATGATTCATTGGAAGCATGTCTAATTCTAGATGCTTCTAGCCCCAGCACACCAGTTTGTACCCAAGAGCTTCGTCTAAGCGCCGCGATGAGGCCAGCAGGGGTTTCTATTCAGCAACGTCACTATCGTCTACGATGAAAGATTTAGATTACCGCAATTATAATATCATTGATGCGCAGAGTCTCCCGAGTACAAAAAAAGCATCCGGGCAGATAGCGATTGGGCGTCATTGCATCGTGGTGGTATGCTGCGCTGGCCGACTGTACCGGGTAGACAGGCAACGGGCGCGTAGAGACAAAAGCGTTTGGCGACTGGCCTGATGCAAGGGGCACATGGCACGAGGCAATGGCAGACTTGATTGGATAGAGGCGGTTCGCCGACGAGCCCGAGCTGTTGTAGATGCAATCGTCACACCTCCCTCCCCCTTGCAGGCAGGTGCAAGTATGCTATATCTGCGCAGGCTTCACAGCTTCAGCGAAAAGGGCCGGGATCGCGCTCGCTCGTTATGGTGTTGGCTGACAGACGACAGACGACAGACGCCCCAGATATCACACATTCAGCCTTCTCAATACCGAAAAAAAGGCACACCCCTGGAAGAATGTGCACGATGAATCTGCCATTGCTCAAGGTCTTGCCCATGTTCATGTGAGGGGAGTACGAATGCGTCTCTAAATAGAACATGGACACACTGGGCCCTTGGCGGCCGCTTATCCCATCCTAGCGGCCGCTTATTCCTCCCTCACAACCTCTTATACAACCTGTATTTTTAGAAGTTTTTTTCTTTTCCTGTTCCGCATAGGGCAGAAGCTATTTTAAGAAACAATGCCCACTCCCCCCTTCTCCCCCCCACGGGGGAAGACGAAGGGGTCTCTCTGCCGCCCAAGACTTGACCACCCCGCCCAATGACCAACTCACTTTCACCAAGTTTTTTCCGCCCAACAAAGACCGCATGTACGGTCGTCTATTTGAGTTTTTATTCATCCTCGCTCAATCCATGTTCCAGTCCTTTTTCAGCCCTGTTTGAGCCCCCCCCCCCCCTCGGTCCGCCGCCGCCGCCGCCGCCACCAACGCCAACAAGGTAATAAATAAGCCGCCGAGCCGCCGAGGCAAAACATGTGGCCGCCGAAATCCAGTTTCCCATCATCAACTAACTAGTTGGCTCAACTAATCCAACCCCCCCCTCCCGCCCCCCCACCTATTGAATGAGTGAGATTTCTTTTTTACATGAGACGGGGGATCATGTACTTGAAACAAGAACAAGCCTCCACACGGCATGGCGCATCCCGTTCTTGCTACACAATTTACCGAAAGAAAAAAACAAGGGCAACAACGTTTGGCCGTGCAGACGACTTACATGGTATTAGTATGCGTGCATGACACAGGCGCGGCAACCCTCTTCTAGTAACTTTGGGGGCTTCCATGATGATTACCATTATTGCATTGGTTCGAAAATGGACGTTTCGATTCGTTCTGCTTGCTTTACAAAAACAAAGCACTCCTTTCTCAAGAATCGGATATTTTGCTCGTCCATGCCCCCCCCCAACGACAAAAGCAAAAGAAGAAGCAGAGTTGGGTCTGCAGAACGAATACTACCGGCTGCTCTTTTGCCGGTATAATGCAAGTATGGTACAATACATACGACAGCCTTCCTTGATCTCCTTCCAGGTCGTCTTTGCGCCCCATGACGTCTAACTAGTCCAAGTCTGATTCAGTAATTTGTACGCGCCGCGTCTTCCCGCCCCTTTCGTCGTGCCCAATCACCTCGATACCCCCGAGAATAGAAACTTGAGCACGTACATATACGTATATATATAGAGAGAGAATATGCTTTGCCGAGCCGCCATCCTACATATTCGTGGCGCAAAGATGATGGAGGGGCGGGGGAGAGAGTCTCTCACTTGTACGCGTTTTCGCCCACCATCGCAGGTTCGCCCGTCTTTGCTCTTCGGCATGGTCGGAGGACTATGCAAAGGAAATGATGGCTGGCGTGTGCCTGCATGTGCATACATGCATGCAAGCGAGACTTGGCGTTGGCAGTGGCGGTGAGACGGAACTAACCGCGAGGCACGTTGGCGGATGCCTATCTGGCATGCTCTACATGTCTTGTCTCCTGATGATGCTCCTGGCCCCCTTACTTCTTCTGCCGCTTGGCGCTCTTGTCGCTCGTCGTGCTGAGCACGCTGGCGCTTCGCTTGTGCGACGCGGGCCCTGTGCTGCCTAGCCGTGCCGTCTTTTCCTTGTCGGTCGGCATCTCCCCCGGCTTGTCCTCGGCCTCGGCCGCGTCACCCGCCTTGGCGGCCTCTGCAGCGGCGTCGTCCGTGTCCGGATCCTCTATCGTATGTGCAGCCTGTTGTTCCTTAGTAGACGGCCCCACAGGAGCATCGCCCTCTGCCTTGCCCTCCTCCATCTTGTCCGCCGCGTCTCCTTCGGCGGCCTCCGCAGTGGTAGGCTCGCCGCCGGGCCCGGCCAGCGCCTTTTCACGCTCGGCCTTTTTGGCCTCCTCAATCTTGATCTCGGCGTCGAGCTTGTCCGAGACCTTGCGGGCGTCGAGGAGGCCGTTGACGGCGGCCAGCAGCGCCTCAAACTGCAGCGTCGTGCCCGTCGTGGGCATGGCCAGCTTGCTGGGCACGTCGAGCTCGTTGAGCGTGTTGTTGATGCGCATCTGCTGCTGGTTGGACTTGTGCGAGAAGAGCTTGTTGATCTTTTCTGTGCGAAACGTGGGGCCAGAGCCGAGCCGGTCGTGGCGGGACACGCCGTAAATGGTCTCCTCCTGCTCTGACAGTTTCCGACGCTCGTGCGCCTGCTGCGGCGTCTTCTTGCCCGCGGCCGTCGGCGTCGATACGGGCCCAGACGACTCACGGATGTTTGCCGCGGCGGCGCCGGCGAAAGAAGGAACGGCGTCCTTCTTGGAGGCTGACGATTCCTGCGCGGCAGCGGCCGCGACAGCCTGGGGGGTGCCCTGTGCCGGGCTGACGCCCTCGGCGCCCATGATCGACTTGCGCTTCTTGGACTTGTCCACATTCATGAGGTTCTGCAGCAGCGTCTGCAGGCCAGCGGACGACCTGAACGTGCTAATGTCCGTCTCGGCGTGCGGGTAGTCGAGTCTGTTGTAGAGCTCCCTGCGTTCCTCGTTGAACTTTTCGCTGCGCGCTAGGATGCGTTTAATTTCCATCAGAAGAGATTCTTCCTCACGGGCCTCTTCGCGCGAGCGCGAGAGTGTGTTGACTGCAAACTCCTTGCGAATCTTTTCTTGCTGGGGGTTGTAGTGCGTCATGAGCTCGTGCAGGGCAAACTCGAGTTGCGTCATGTACTGCACCGGCTTGTTGATTGCCATCATCTTGGCCGCCACTTCGTAGTATCTCGCCTTGAGGTCCTCAAGCGCGCGGGCGCGGGCGGTCGGTACCACCGCCTTACTCTCGTCACCGTCCGCGTTTGCCTCGTTATTCACAGCCGGCGGGTTCCACTCGTATCGATCCCAGATGAGCGGCCACCGCAAGTCAAAGTCGCGGGCCAGCTCAATCAAGTAGTCAGTCTCCTCCCGCGTCCAGTCTTCGTTTTGTAGGGTTTGTAGGTATTGGTCATCGCTGTACTCGGGCACTGACACGCGCACATTGTATTTGGCAAATGCTGAGTCCTCCACCTCGTCCGCCGGCGCCGCAACCGCCACCTTGCCCTGTTCGTCCGTCGCCGTTGTCGCTGTCGTTGTTGTTGTCGCGTCAGGTTGTTGCTTCGTGTCCTTGCGCCGCCAGTGGCGCAGGATCAGGCTCGCATCGTCCCGGGCTGAGTTGCGAAAAGCCCGCAGTTCCCATCGTGAAGCGGGCTTCCGGTTAGCCATGCGCCTCTTTTTGAACTGCGTGACCTCTGGGACGATAGCGATGGGGTTGTCGCCGCCGAGGTTGTGTACTTCGCGTGCCAGACCCTTGAGGTTGTTGTGTCGCGCGCCCGAGACTTTCTGCTTCTTAGCCGGACGCGGACCAGCCATGCCATCTGGCAGGTTGAGCATGTCACGGACGTCTGTCGAGCTCATGGTTGCGATGAGACGTCGATTCTGACAAGCTGGTTTGGTGATCCGCACTGGTGAGGTGCCCGGTGTGTAGTCGTCAAAGAGTCAATGAATCCCCGTGTTGCATCGCTAACTCGTTCGAATTCAAATTCGTATTTGACTAAGCAGTTAGAAATAATTATTCGGGATTTTTTTTGGCGTGTTGTGTAGTCGTTGTGCCTGGTTGAAACTCAGGGCGATTCGATTCGCGACCGAAGTAAAGTCTCGAGAAATTTGCCCTTGTTCGCTAGCACTCACTCACTGAGCCTCTAATATGTAGCGGATCGCTGCCACTGGATTTGAGAGAAGAGAGACGCGAGCGTGGTTCGCATGCGCTTGCACGTGACCGCCCCTGGAAGGTAGCTTGCTGGGCGAATTATTGTGGACGTGGCAGCTTCGATGGAGTAGCCCCTAGGTAGCCTCAGAGGGTTGTTAGTAGTGTCGTCTTGAATGTCCTTCTCCCTGATCTTCTCTCCCAACCACGAGGACGAGTCTCTTTGAATCCCCCGAGTAGTCTTCTTGCCACAGGATACAGCCAATTGCAAAATTGTCTTGCCGTTGGAATCGAATCCGAACACCCCACGCATCGCTCCGAAGCTCGCTTCAGGTATCCGCGCCCGCGACCCGACAACTGCCCGCCATGCGGTTGTTTCTCCCCATCCTGACCTTGGCCTCGGCCGCGCAGGCCCTGCACTTCTTCATTGATGGCGCGACGCAAAAGTGTTTCTACGAGGAGCTTCCTAAGGACACTCTCGTCTCAGGAACCTACGCCGCCGAGGAGTGGGATGACCGCGCCAACGCATGGCAGCAGCACGAGGGCTTGAAGATTTACATCACCGTCGATGTACGTGCCTACCACATCCACCCGCTCTGTTCTCTCCAAAATATCCCTCCCTCGGATAGAATGCTAACCAAACGTCTTCGCCCCTTTGCAGGAAGTATTCAACAACGACCACCGCATTGTCTCCAAGGCTGGCTCCTCGGCGGGCAAGTTCCACTTCGTCGCCCACGAGGCCGGCGACCACAAGATTTGCTTCTTGCCCTCGTCCACGTCGGGCCGCCCCGCGTGGCTCTCGGCGTCTTCCACCAACGGCGGCATCAAGCTCAAGCTCGACATGGTCATTGGCTCGAGCAGCCAGATTGAGAGCTCCGACAAAAACACCATTGCCGACATCACCACCCGTGTCAAGGACCTGAACAACCGCCTGAACGACATCCGTCGCGAGCAGGTCTTCCAGCGTGTAAGTGGCGGCGATTCGGGACCGTACAGTAATAATCCTTGGAAAGAGGCGCTGACATGTTTGTTGTCATAGGAACGCGAGGCCGAGTTCAGAGACCAGTCCGAGTCCACCAACGCCCGTGTCATTCGCTGGATGGTTATCCAGCTCGTCATTCTCGGCGGTACCTGCGTCTGGCAGCTGTCGCATCTGCGTACCTTCTTCATCAAGCAGAAGCTGACGTAAAAAGGGAGAAGGAGCTGTACGGTATTGTAATACATGGTGTTCTTTTTTTCGAATTTTTCTTCTTGCTTGCTCAGGATGGTTTAATCTAGAGTTGAAAATTGGGATGGATATGGAAAAGAGGGTCAAGTACGCCTCATGATGAGCCTTTTTGCCATGAATTCTTTTGTCATAGATGGCAAATTGGCAACGTATGCATTCAATATCGTCTTCTTGTAAATGGGACACGCGGGAATTCACTGGATGCACTGGATGGCAGACTGATACAGTATAATCAATAGCGTGTCGAGGCAGGTGGGAAAAGAACTAATATTCACTTAACACACACGTGCAAAGGTCGTTACTGAACCGATGTTAATTCAATTACAAAAAGCATACCGATGAAACTCCTACCTAGTGTTGTTTGTAAAGTCCACGTCAAAATCAGAAGATTTACACCGTCCTCTTGTCTCTTCTCCCCCCAAGTCTCTCAGGTGGTGCCATTGGACACGACAGGTCTAACTCAATGATGATGAAACAAATGATAAAAAAAGAAACCAACTTGCAACAAACGACGCTCATCCGATGCAGCTTGCCCTTGGCTCGTCCCAAGTTGAAAAATACAGAGCTTTCTTGCAAATCAAGAAATGTCATATTCCCGTTCTTGACCTTTGTTCCTGAGAGATTCTCCTCTTGACCTCCTCGGGGGCGAAAAAAAAAAAGTATTATACGACGGCGTAGTAAGAGATGGGGGAAGGATGTGTATGTGAAGAGGGGATAGTGGCCGTGAGTGTCGAGCAGTAGCAGTGGTAGTGAAAGTGTATATCAGACGGCGGGGGAATGCACATGTAGGGCTGAGCGGCAATGGCCGGCACATGATGGCAAGGCATTCTTGACGCAGTCCGGGGTTTCGTAGCCGTTAGCTGACAGTGCAATGTAGGATGCCTGCAGCGAGAGGGCCAGCTAACAGGCTTGGTTCGTAACGATAGACGTGATGGATAACAAGGAAAATAAATGACTCTTGGAAATGCGCTAGGATGATCCTTGGTTTTCTTGGTTTTGTGATTTTTGTCGGAGTTTGGGTTTCTCGGGTTGACGTGTCAGGGACATCGGGTGCAGCCGCGCGAGTCTTTTCTTTTCCATGCTTATCATGAGCAACCACTGTGTTGACCGCACCGTAATATCCAATATCACAGCTTTACACTGTTTACCGCCTCCAGACATTCCAGAACAGCCAGCCCGACTAGTAAGCTCGAGGTCGCCAACTAGTGGGGGCAGGAATATCGACGGCACTTGAGGATTCCAGCCTGCACATTCCACCGAAGCGCTGCCTACCGCCGCAAAGGGGAGAAACACAACTTCGACTCGTAGCGGGTGGCGCCTAACCGCAGCAAATGGACTTGATGAATTTTTGGAAGCCACTGGGCTGCTGGGCGGCCTGGGCATTGAGCTGGCCGGGTTGGCCGATGCCACCTTGGGGCGTCATCTTCTGCTGGGGCAGATTCTGGGCGCTGTTTTGGAACTGAGCCTGGGTCGAGCCGGCCGGGGTGGATAGGTCACGCAGGCCCCCAGGACCCCGTTGGGCGGACAACCCCCCTTGCACGCTTGGTCGATCTCTCTGCTTGCCCATCTGCTTGATCGGCGAGGGAGGAGGCGGCTGGGCGGCGTTTAACCGGCCGACGGTAAGATTCTGTGCTTGCTGGTGAGAGTTGGTATTCCCCCGATGGCCACTGTGAAGTTCCATTTGAGAGGGACCGGGGCGTACGTTTGGATTGTGGTGATAGTTGTGCCCCTTGGAGTCCCAGCCCTTTCCCGAATCCTTGTTGATCTTCATCCAGTCGTATTCGCCATCCTCGATCTCGCCGGCGTTCTTGAGAGCTTGGGTAAAGAGCTCCCGGAGATAGTCGTAGTCGGGGGTGTCTTCGAAGCCGAGGTTGCGGACATAGGTGAGGTACTTGCTGAACTCCTCGGGGAAGCCCTCGCAGAGGTCCTTGATGGCAGTGGTCTGCTTCTTTTCACCAATCTTTTCATATTTCTGCTTGTTGGTAGCAGCCTTGAGGCCCTGCCAAGGCAGGCCACCACGGAGGAAGTACATGAAGACGTGACCGAGGGCCTCGAGATCGTCGCGACGCGACTGCTCACGCCCCAAGTGAGTGTTGATACTCATATAACGGGCAGTGCCGGAGAGAGACTTGCGCTCGCGGTAAGGGATGTGCTGCTTGGTTTTGGGGTCTCGGTACTGCTTGGCCATACCAAAGTCAATGACGTGAATAACGTTGGCGGCTTTGGTACCAGGGCGGCCAATAATGAAGTTGTCGGGCTTGATGTCCCGGTAGATGAGATTTCGCTCGTGTATCGTCTGAACGCGGGAGAGCATCTGCTTGGCGACCATAACAACCGTCTTGATAGTAAATCGACGACCACAGTGGTCGAAGAGATCCTCGAGTGAAGGTCCGAGGAGGTCAATCACGAGGATGTTGTGGAGGCCTTCCTGGCCAAAGTAGTAGACATTGGGGATACCGGCTGAGTTCATGTTAGGAAATTTACTGGCGGAAAAACGGGTCGGTCAAATCGTCTACTCACGATATCCTACAAGGATCTTGTAGGTGCGATACTCGTCTCGCAATTGGGGAGCGTCGCTCTTGCGAGGTTCCTAGAGGAAAATTAGCACGTCGGGGTCGGGCGGAAACCAAAAAAAGCAGAGAGCGGTGCGTCTGCAGGCGGAATACTGACGAATTTGATGGCGACCTGCTGATTGTTGAGCAGGTTGGTGCCTTCGAAAATGACACCAAACGAGCCCTCACCAATCTTCTTGCCCACTCGGTAGTGGACACCGACAACGTTGGAGGCTGACGAAGCCATATCGGGCGGTTGGCGGCTGGCGACGAGCGGTGACTCGGAAGAATGAATCGATACAAAGACAAACGATGGAGGGGCGATGGTGGTGGAAATCGAGGGTCGTGTGCGAGGGGACGAATTGCCGCGTCTTTAGTCGGTCGGACGATTGGACGGTCGGGCGACAGTGTTATGAGAGTCAAAACAGCAGCCCTGGGGCACGACCTACGGAGCCCCCAATAGGGGTGTGCTGCTGTTGGGTGTGCAGACGGGCAAAAGCCTGAAGGGGCGGCGTAGTCGTGTGCAGAGGCGGTCGGAGAGATGTAATGGTTAGCAAATGGGCAGAGGCGTGCACATTGCGGATGGGGGAGCAGGAGGAAGGAAAGAAGAGGAAGAAAAAACACAAGGTGGAAGAGTTGCAAGATGGCAAGGGGAGGAGTAAAGATCTGCTGGAGATGAGTGCCCAGGTCGTAGTGGATCTCGACGAAGCGGTAGCCAATTTCTTCGGGGGAGGGCCTGGAGGGGGGTGGTGGGCGGCCTGCTAGGGGACCGCTAGCACAGACGAAAAAGGTCGAGACTGTGGCAGCCTCGAGCGAGAGACGAATGATTGGTCGTGATGACTGGCGTCAGAACAGCATTATTACAGTATAAGAGTAATCCTATGCATGCAAGCCCTGATGACGCTGTGCTGCGTTGGTGTTTTGGCCCCTGGCTCAGGCCGCAAGTCTGCAGTTGGCGGCCACTGGAACTGACGACAGAGCACAGCCAGGTCCCTCTATTTACAGGCGATGTCGCGGCTGGGGCTCTGTTGTGTGCTGGCGGGTGGACTTTTAGGCGCTGCGCCAAGTCAATCGCAGGTCACGACAACTCAATCAGGATTTTTTTTAGGGTACTGGGACGACCAGAAAATCGGCCATACTGATACCTACTACCTACCTTTTTCTACCTCTTTTTCTTGTCCGCGACCAAAACTGAGCGATCCTCGCAGATGCAACAACATGTTACGACCAAGGGGGCGGGTTCTTGGCCGAGCCCAGCCTAGCGCCGTGACAAGTCAGTTGGCTGCAGAAGTCTGAGTCCAGCAGCCTTTGCCTGCTTGGGTAGTCCGGGGTCGTGACCTATCCTGGACAGCTCCGACGCCTGACAAATAAATTGTCGTCTTTTTATTCTCGATATTTTTTTTTATTTTCTTATGTCCTACTAGTTAGTTACCCCCTTCCGTACCTCACCTGCAGATGCAAGCAATGCGTCCTCAGGGACCATCGCAATCGGACCACGAATAATACAATGGCACGCTGGCCGGGTCGCTGTAGGTACCGTATCCACCGCCCCGGCTGCCCGAAGAAGCGGTGCGGTGCATTGTGGGATCGCGCCCAACGGTGAGCCGAGATGCAAAAATACGGATATATGTACGGAGTACAAAGGTACAAGTACAAAAATAGTTATGTACGCGTGCACATGATGCAATGGAGGCGAATTGGCGACTCGCCAGCCATCGCAGCCTCGCAACGAACTTGGCTTGTTTGCTGTTCCCCAAAGCTGCTACCGGCCCAGCTGAAGCGAAGGCTCGGAGCCTCCAAACGCTCCAAGCTTGGCCTCCACCCTTCAGCACCCGGTTGCTCGACCGCATACCAGTATACGACCTGTAGTGCATTCGGGTTTGCCACCGCGCGGATGGGAGACTATTTGCCTTGTAACCAAACGGGAAGGTCGATTTACTGGTACCAGAAAACTCGATATCATAACGAGTCGGAGAAACTCGCCCACGTGCCTTGAGACGGAGGCACGGACCCGTGGCTCACCAACCTCCGCCACAGCCCGGGCCCCCCATCACAACGGTTCCTTCCAAGAACACGAACAGCGATTGGTCGCGAAGCAAACAAACCACGAATACATCGCAAAACACATCGCAGGCTCCCGAGACCAATTGCACTCGTCCGCGGCTCGTCAATAATCTTTTGCTGAACCCTGTCAATGACGTGCAATTTCCCAGCCGTCCAACCGGCTCGTGTTCCCTGGTAACTAACCTGGTCAGTAGTGACCGTCGGCGAGCGACTCGACTCCCGTCTTGTCGATACGCTGCCACCTGAATAAGTTGTCACCAGTTCCAGCAATAAGCTCGTAGCGGCGGCGAGAGATACGAACCCCTCCCCTTCATAAAGGAATTGCATTGCGAGTGTCCGCCCCTGCCGTGGTAAGCGACGAGAAAATAGCAACATCGCCAGATCAATCAGGCATCTCGCCGGAGCATTAATCAACTTGTGAGACCATCTGGAACCTTGTTGCCCCATTAGACATGCCAAAAAGTCAAAAGCGACGATGAGAAGAAAAGAGGGACCATGAAATCCACCTTTACCATTGACAACTATTACACTTGAAAAACACGATCCGTCGCCCAAGCATTGACCTTTTCCCCGCGCTTGGGCTCATCGGGCGGCAGCCAACCTCGACGAGATGCAGCTGACGAGCCTGCAGCAGAGCCAGGATGTCAGTCGTTGCTGTTACATTCGTGTTGCAACACTGACTAGCGGGAACACCCTGCATGGACGGGGGAACCCCGACATTCAGCAATTGGACCTACATTTAGAGTAGTTTCCGAGATCCCATGTTGTTCTCCCGAAAACAAGGAGGTTGGGGCATATCTCATCTCCGGGATGGCAGATCTCTCCCAGGCAATGGCCCAATATCGGTAACCAACCAACGACTGTTTTGCTCTCCTCCCTACTCACTGCTAGTTACCAGTAACTAGGCTAGTTCTGGCAGACGACAATTGAACCTGCATGCATCGTGCGCGGACGCCCTCCAGCTGTCTGCAAGATGCGGGTCGCTACGCTCGATAGTCATGCGACTGTTGTATCATATGTAGTGGTGTTTGGTGTTCCCGCGCGCAACAATGGATGAGACGAAACTTACGACCCATTTGTATCATGGACAGTCATTGCCATGGCCAGGTCAACAGAAACAGCATTGTCCTCCTCATAGGCTACTTGCTATTACATTTTATTCGCTTTAGTTGAATTCTTGCGACAGGAGGGGTTAGAAGCAAAGAGAAACATTGGATATCAGCAGCTACCGTTATTGATGTAGTCAGTCGTAAAGGAGGCAAGACTGACTGCTCACACCATTGCCAAAAGCACGCTCATTACCTAGCTCGGCAGACTCGACCGGCTTTGTCGTTGATACGTTCTGGGGAAATCGGCCTTTGGCATGACCGCTAGAGCCATATACCCGAGTAGTTGAGACGAAAACAAGAGCCATGATCGGGAAAGAAATCTACGTTGAGACGAACGAACAGATACATGTACTACTTTTGGCATAGTCAAGGGAGACATACCTTCATTATATAGTTGATCCCTAGAGTCTCGTTGACTGGAGCTGCGCGCCGACAGATCCTGCCTTGTAGATTGGAGCAGAGGATAGGGTGGTTGTACATGGTAAAGAAAGAACAGTTCCTGGATTCAGGGGAAACTCACACGCTTTAATACGTGATTAACTATTGAAAATTTACTGAAGAATCTCTTACCTAAAGCATCTCCATCATATCCCTACTCCCTCTAACGCACGACATCAGTGTTTAATAGTAGTGACGGACTGGCTGGCAATACACCACATAATGCCGATCGCTTTCAGCTGTGCCGGTTCTATAACGAATATGGATTCTGTTTCCAATATGACATTGTTCAAGAAGCGGGATCAAGAGTAGGCGTTGTAGTGCCGGCATCGAAAAACCCAGACAGCGGTACAGGGTACGCCGCAATGACCAAGCTTGCTGGGGAATGCCCCCCCCTCCATCCTGAGGGGCAAAAATCGTCCAGACCTTGCGCTCACACCGTCAGTCACTCGGCGACGTGGAATTTCTCGGACATACGAACCATACAAGACAACCCTGGTAGTCAATGGTGAAAAATCGCTCTGGGTCATGACAAAGCAGACTTGTTCCCCTCTCGACTATCCAACCATCTGCCGCCCCCATCCAACTACCTACCTACTATGGTGACACCTCATCAGTGTCCCCCGCACCTTGGTGGGGGACCAACCTTGGGACGCTGAGAGGGATGGCCAGCTTCATCAGCGATTGGAGCCTGTTAGCTCCTCTATAAAGCGTGGTACCTTGGCCTCTGTTTCAATTGATTTCTCTCCCTCCCAATCCTTTCCCTTTGACTCCTCTGCAAGTACCATCCAGAACAAGCCGCCATCATGTCCAAGCCGGCCGATCTCCCTCCCATGCAGTACCGCTTTCTCGGAAAGTCGGGTCTGCAGGTGTCTGCCATTTCGCTCGGTGGATGGCTCACGTACGGCGGCCACGTCGATCGCGGTATGCATTGCCTCTTTTTTTTCCCTGCACGGCGTCCCTCCAGGCGGGGGAACAGACACGGTCATCTCTCGCTCTCTCGCATACTGACTGGCTTGCGGCGACAGAGGGCACCTACGCCTGCATGAAGGCTGCATACGACTGCGGCGTCAACTTTTTCGACTGCGCCGAGGTGTACGCCGCCGGCGAGAGCGAAATCGTCATGGGCGAGGCTATTAAAAAGTACGGCTGGAAGCGAAACGACCTCGTCATCTCCACAAAGGTACGCATTCCCCCTCATATCCCCCCGTCGAACACCCACACACAAACACGCACCCATCCATTGCCTTGTTAGCTTACACACGCATCGCGCAGATCTTTTGGGGCGGCGCCTTTGGCGATAACCCCGTCAACAACAAGGGCCTGTCGCGCAAGCACATCATCGAGGGCGTCGACGCCTCGCTGAAGCGGCTGGACCTCGCGTACGTGGACCTCATCTACGCGCACCGCGCGGACCGACAGACGCCGATGGAGGAGACGGTGCGCGCCTTCAACCACATCATCAACACCGGCAAGGCGTTCTACTGGGGCACGTCCGAGTGGCGCGCCGACGAGATTGCGCAGGCCCACCGCGTCGCCGACCGTCTCGGCCTCATCGGCCCCGTCATGGAGCAGCCGGCGTACAACATGATCGACCGCGCCAAGGTCGAGGGCGAGTTTGCGCTGCTCTACCGCGAGCCCGGCCTCGGCCTCACCGTCTTCTCCCCGATGAAGCAGGGCATCCTCACCGGCAAGTACCGCGACGGCGTCCCCGACGACTCGCGCTTCGCCCAGACGAGCGTCCAGTACATCGCCGGCTTCTGGAAGAACGTCGGCAAGGAGGGCTGGGACAAGATCGTGGAGCAGGTCAACCAGCTGCAGCCCATCGCCGACCGCCTCGGCATCAAGATGAGCACGCTCGCCCTCGCCTGGGTCCTCCGCAACCCCAATGTCAGCTCCGCCATCACCGGCGCCAGCGGCCCCGCGCAGGTATACGAGAATGTGCGTGCGCTGGCCGCGGTGGAGAAGCTGACGCCGGAGATTATGGCCGAGATTGACGAGATTCTTAATAATAAGCCTCCCGCGATTGCCGAGAGAGAGTAAGGAAAATCGTTAGGATGGGATCGGCGCTGTATCTGGGTTATTGTCTATAGCGTAGAAAAACACTCTCTTGTGAAAGAACTTTGGCCTTTAGTGTTTGTGTAAGTGAGGAGGCCGCTGCCAGTCGCCAAACCTGTATCTTTGCCACCGTGACTTGATCATTTCACTTTTAATACCCAGAATATTGTTCTGCATGTATAGTCAGCGGGAGCATCGTCATGTCATGGTATTATTTATCGGCTGCAGCGGGCTCTGCATCGGCATGCCCCGTCTATGCCGTGGGCCATCTCGTGCAGCCTTGCAACCACACTTTTACACGCACTGCAACAGCTTGCATCAACTGTCATCCCAGCATCAGAACGAGCTCAATTCCATCAACACCATCAAAAATCCGAGTGCCACCATACACGACAACATGGCACCATCAAAGCTGCAGAAATGGTTTCCCTGGACCACGGCGCCCGTCATCATCAACGCGCCGATGATTGGCGCCGCCTGTCCCGCCCTCGCCGCTGAAGTGAGCAAAGCGGGTGGCATAGGTACTCCCCCCCCCCCCCCAAAACCCCCCTCTCCAACCCCGCGTCCTTCTCTAATCATTTCCACCCCCCGCTCCCCTGGGCAGGCTTCATCGCATCGCTCGTCAACGTCGAGCAGGGCTCCGCCGAGCTCACCAAGGCCCACGACGACCTCGCCGCCACGCGGCAGCTGCTCGGGCAAGACGCCACGGCGGGCGCGGTGCACGCGGGCATGAGCTGCATCACGGGGCACGCCAGCATCGCGGGCTTTGCCTCGACCGTGGTGCCCGTGCTGGCCGCGCAGCGTCCCGCGGCGCTGTGGCTGTTTGCGCCCGACGGCGGCGGCGGCGCGGCGCGGCGGGGGCCGCACGCCGGCGTCATCGCCGCGGTCCGCCAGCTGC